TGGAAATGCCATAACTTTGGTGTTTTTAAAGTTAGGAAGTTGGGATTTTTGATGAGTATTAAGAATGCATCATATGAATAATTTTGGAGAATATAATTTACAGAGTATTCTGCAAGGGTATATCAACTTCGGCTCCGCCCGAAGTTAGCTTTCCTTTCTTGTTTTGTATTTATTTTGGTGCAATTGATTGGGCTACAGGTTAACGAATGCTTTTGCACTTCAACCTTCTTTCAACTTGATTTTGTGTTGCCTTTGATTTGAGGTCCTGGCATTAGCTGAGCGTTTGTAACCCCCTCCTGTTTCCGTTGTTCCACAACAATTTGGGCTAACGATGTCCGTGAGCAATGAAAGAAAAATATTTCCCAGGCACACCAGAACGTGTCTGCAGCGATCCATGTTATATTTGTAATGTTTGACTTTCAGCTCGGGTTTATATTTCACTCATATGTCGCTGCAGGCTTAGAATTCATGATTCCCATATTTTTCTCTGAATGATTTATACGTTTCTGATGAATTTACCAACTTGATCTTTAAGCAAGCCTGTGGGCTGTCTTGAAATGTGTAACCGCAGAAGGCTTGTCCTGGTTTGAGTTGCAGTGAAATCAGTTTGACATTATCATTGCAAGTGCAGGCCGGAGTTCTATAACGACGTTCCTCTGAGCGACTTCTGTCAATTACCATTGGATGGCAGCTGTCTCCTTCTTCCTCCCAGTTTTCATTTGTCCCGCAGTGAAACAGCAAGGACTCTTTTTTGAGGGTTGCCTGTCTAGCTGTCTCTGTTGATTGTATGTTATTTTAGCTGCTACCCATGTTGTTGTTGTGAGCGCTGTCTGTCTTGTTATTGGATTTAACGAAGTGCACTGCATAACGCGCATACGACATGTGCGCCCATTCCCAGGCAATGTTTTTGTAAGGTCATGCACATCATATCTGAAGGGGTGTGCATGAAGTTACTTTAATATGTAATGTCCCCCAAAAGAGCCTTAAAAGGATATATAAAATATAAAAAAAACTACAAAAATATTTAATAGTTTATTCAAAAGAAAAAAACCAACAAGGAAAACTAAGCTATATCCCAAATTAGCAATCAAAGCTAGATGGTTATTTTATGAAAAATTGAAACTATCCCACTGAAAATACAAAAATTTCAACTAAAAAGGCAAATAAAAATATATAACAGATAAAAGATACAAACATTTCAACTAAAAAGGTAAATAAAAATATATAACAGATAAAGACCTGTTTATTTATATATATAAGTTCCTTCAGTCAGGTGAGAAGTCAACCCAAAATCATTTATTTTTACCTCTGATGATTATGTTCCCTCACCGCTCGTAGTTCCCTTCTACAACCGCATATCACGCATACGCCCAGTTATCCAGTTTTGCAGCGTTCGCGTTTTACCTGCTTCCAGCAGCTTGATGCATTCCCGTGCGGTTTTCTTTCTGCGAGTGCGACACAAAGTTCTGCTGGCTGGTGGCCACATGGATACATCCAACTGTGCGGCACCACTGAAATGTCTGCTTTTCAGCCACCACTCGTCATCGGAGGGGGAAACATTGTCACGTGGTTTTCGTATTTAGTTGTGTCCTCCAGGACACTGTTCTCCACCTGACGCCGCACAAGCTCCTGCAGCCTTTTCTTTGCGGTTACTGCAACCACTCGTATGACTTCCCATTCACATTGAAGCTCACACCAGTGCAATAAATTCGCCAGCCCGAGTTACGCTTTGTGTGCCATTGTCGAGGGGCTTTCCATTGTATCGCAAGCACAGACACATATACAAGTTGCCTTAGTTGCCTGTGTGGGTGTAGTTATCCCATCCGTGTGGCAGTTGGGCTGGCATTGTTTTGTTTGCCACTGCGACTACTTCGCTCCCTTTGTTGTGCAGGGAAATTGAAATAAATGTATGTGTAAATGCGTCAAAATTAAGTTTATTTCTTTTTCGCTGTAGCTTTTTAAATGTCTTTGCCAGTGACAAGTGTCAATTAGAAAAAGTTCAATTACATTAAGCCGAAGAGGGAGCAAACAACAACAAGTGGGGGCTTTGTTAAAGGCATCGCCATGAAGGATATCCAGAGAGTCATTGTCACTGTCGGTATTTGTGCTTTTGTGTTTTTGTGCCTTGTGAGACAAAGCATGCACAGACAGATGTATAAGAATGCCAAGGAAATTAGAACATTTCTGGCGTAGTTTCAATATGAACACATATAAATTGGATACAAACCTACATGAGAGTGCTAAAATATCAATGGATAATTCGGCATCCATACGATTCCGTACAAACATTTTAATAAGAATGAAAAAACTTATGTGAAAGCATCATGTTTTTGGTATAGCACTGGTTAGAATTAAATGCAAAACCATTTTTTTAAAGAGATAAAAACATTTATTAACACCTTGCTTTAAAGATTAAAGAAAAAAACTAGCTTCTATTCATCAAGTGTTTCAAATGATCATTATTTATGCTTATTCATTATTTCTTATTCTTTTTAACCAGTCTTCGGACATGAAACAAATTAAATTTTAGCAAACTCAGTATTTGACAGGGTCAATTAACTTTCGTATATATTTCAAAATGTTTGACTGTGCAGCTAATTTCCTTACCAAAAGTGGTTTCAGCTTTGACGGGATCGTGTGTCATTTCATGACCAATCTGCTAATGAAATAAAATATTAATTAAGAAACTCCAGACAGCAGACAGTGATAAAGATAGAGACAATGAATATGGCCAGTCTGTCGTTTCGTCAGTGGACATTTGGAGCTGTCGTTTGGGTAATTGTAATGTTTGGCATGCAATTAAGCAAATGATGAATGAATCATTTAACAACGGAGAGATGCGGCTGTGTTGTCTGGAGACCAGACAAGTTGACACTGCGCCAAGTTGGCCAAGTGCGTTAACATGGCGTATGCGCAATAATTTAGTGTATAGCAAACAATTCCCTCGTAGCAACGACGTGTTTAGTCAGCAGACAGCGGACACTCGCCGCCGTTTATAATTTGATCATTATTTATATTTAAATAGGTCCTTCCCCAACGCACCCGAAACACATCTGTTCTCTGGTTTTTTTATCGTATTTTTTTTGTCGTATCGCCCCGTTTGCTTTGTTGTTTTGCTGGCCTGGCTAACAACAAATTGAAGGGAAATGATTCCATTTCATGCTAGATTAAACATGTGTCCACATAATTTATCGATTATTTATCATGTGGTCCGCTACGGGTGTGCTCTGTGTGGACAAAGTGAACTGAAGCCAGAGGCCCCGGGCCGCCGACATGGCTCTCTGTTTGCGACTGGGCGGCAAAAGTGGGCAAGTGGGCGGCTGCCCCTTTGCGTAGGCCTTTTGCGGCCACATTGCGCACACAAGTGCAAAATTAGAAACAAAAGCTCTGCCAAAGGCGTTTACCGTTTACCCTGTGCCGCAGCAAGTGAATTTCGATGTCGTTTGCCATCCAAGGCACTTGTCGCTCCAATCCCGAGCACCCTAAGGATATGATTTGCAGGGGTATGCTGGCAACAGAAGTCAGAGATAGTTTCCTCGGCCAGTCTTTTGCCTTGTTAAGAAACACAGCTTAATTATGCCAGAAAACGGGCCATCCGTTTCTATATTCCCTACTTTGATTTTAATTGTAATTGTAACTTCAGAAAAAGGTGTTTACATTTTCATTTTTTGATGCAGTTACTCCAATATAAACTATAAATTGCATCTATCTATTTAACATCGTCGCAAAAATAAAACATTTTTAGAAATGCACATTTAAATATCAACTGTGTTTTTTTTTTTGTCAAAATTACAATAAAACTATTAAAGTTCTTTATAGTTTAGGTTGCACTTTTTTCAAAATCAGATTTCATCAGATAAATATATATATATTTTATTAGTGCACAAATCTTTAAAAACAAGCGGAGACATTTTCTTAATTATATACGTTTGTTACAAGCTATAAAATGATTGAAAAGATAGTAATGAAGCGAAAGTAAAGTCTGCTTTAAAATAACTTTTAGCTGTGCATTCCTGCATCATTATTTGTAAATCCAAATAGATATCTTAAACAATTTTAGTTCAGGGTAATGGAATATTCGATCAGTAGTGTCTTATTTTTATTTTCATCCTCTGTGTTTGTTTTCTTCCGCCTCTTTTTACAAGCCAGACGCATTTGCCATTGCATTTTTACCGCATAAACACACACTGCCACTGGGCGGGACACCACTGGGCAGCACAACACGAAAATGGCGGCCATTTTGTAATCCGCATGTGGCTGGGTAATCACCCCTAAGCTCCGCTTTTCCACTATCCCCGGGACATCATCCCTTCAGCTCCCCCCTCCCTCACACGTGCGAGGGCTTTTGCCGGGTTTTGCTGTAAGCTTTTTTTCCTGTTTTGTTTTGCAGCATTATGTGGTCGCTTGTCGCTGCATTTTCCCCCTTTATCTGGTTTTCCAGCGCCATCGCCCCTTTCCCGGTATCTCCATCTCTCTATGAATGTTGTGATTTCGTTTGGCGATTTTCGGCCATTTTTGGTTTTCATTTTTCGGACCTCAAACAGCCGCAGATCGATCAATATTTTAAAGCTTAGCCAAATGGTGCGAATGCAGGCAGTGTTGGTCGGCTTTCGGCTAATTAAATCGGGGATAGGGGAAGTTCCTTGCCAGCCAACAAGTAGCCACATTTATCAGAGAGAAATCCTTTGAATGGGTGCCAGAAAATATGAAATATTTTCCTACTCGTCCGCACTAACAACTTTATCAAAATTTGAAAAACTTCATAATGCTCCTTTACTTCTTCAGCGTTTGTATGTATGAGTATGCTGCAATGCAATTGTTGAACACTTTTTGACAAATTTTTTGCGGCAGCCACTTGAAAATCAATTTGCCAGCTAAATTGACTTCCATTCTCAGCCAAGAGATTTCTGCCAGCACAGCAGAAATAACTTAGAAATAAAACTTGCCAACTTGCAACGACTCCATTCTCATGGCATTTCTGTTCACCAATCTCCTTTCAGATGGCGAAATCCTGCGCGTGCTGGTGAACAGCTCGGCCCAAATCAAATGCGATGTGGGCTCCAGCCAGGCCGATGACAAAGTGCTGCTGGTTGTTTGGTACAAGAATAATTTACCCATTTACAGGTAGGTCAATCTGGGCACTACGAGCGCGTGTATCTGTATCTGTATCTCAATCCCTTTGTCAGCTACGACACACGTGGCGCCCACGCAGGCACCCCATCGCACTGGCGGGACGAGGAGGTCCTCGAGGATCGGGCCGTCTTTCGCACGCACAAGGAGCCGGCGGAATTGATTATAAATCCGGTTAAGGTAACGAACAAATTCCCCGCACCCCCCCGTCACTAGCGAGTGTCAACAGCGCGGCGCTCTATAATTGGAATTTCATTTCAGGAAAAGGATGCGGGCAACTTTCGCTGTCGCGTGGACTTCAAGCTATCGCAGACCCGCAACAGCAATGTCAATTTGGAGGTTGTCGGTGCGTATACCCAGAATCAAAAGATGTCAGGAATCCAATATGTTTCGAATGCCTCACACTCGCATACATGTTTGAAAGGATCTAACTACTTTTTAATTAACAGAAAACCATTTAAAAGCAAGTTAAAGGGGATTGATACATTTATGAGCCATTTAAAATGTTCAATATATTAAACTGGGTTAAGAAAAGAAAATATATATTTATTTTAATAGAACTAAGTCACCTTAAATTTCTCGGAAGGCTTAGGAATTGAATTTAATGGCTGCCAATAGTGTGATTTGTACACTATGCACTAAACTTTCTGATCAAATTTTGATTATTGTTAAGCATAGCAAAATAAATCCGAAGGTTAATAAATATGTGCAAAAGTAGTCCTTAGCATTTTATAAATCAACAAAAAAGGGTTGGCATACTTAAAAATTAAATACTTTAAGCTATATTTTTCATAGCGGTAAAATGTCACGTTAAATTGTTACTGTTTTGAAATGAAACGTTGGTTGAAATGAAACAATGATTGCCAAACTGTGCAGCCTAAGGCAAACACAAATAAATAAAAATGAAATCCTTTTCTGTTTGTTCAACTCAAATCTCAATTAAAAAATTTTCCACTTCGACCAGTTTAAATAAAAAAAACCATTAATAAATATATACACAATATACGTGCATACAAAATCAACATTCACATAAATAAATAAATATGGCCAGCCAGAAACGATTATAAAAGCAATTAATATTTGTTTCGTACGCACACACTCCGAGCCAAACGAAATGCACATAAATTAGCTGAAATGATTTTTCGGTTAGCCGCAAAACTTACAATTTATTATGCGAGGTATATGAGTAAAAGCGTTGTATAAATCGGACTTTGCATTGCTTTTGACAATGCCAAATGGTTTCTGATTTGCGGCTGTTTAAAATCATTGCAATCATTAAAAAAATAGTAAATGCATATGGTTTTATTTTGCAGTGCCGCCAACGCAGCCGATTATCTTCAACGAGCGTCGCCTGCGAATCGATTCGAGGGCAGGTCCTTATGAAGAGGGTGGCAGCCTGGAGGTCACCTGCGTCGTCTACGGAGGTGAGTACCTGAAATGCTGATCAAAAACTATAAGAACTGGATGTGGGGCAGTATAGTTTTAGTGAAATAAAATATTTACTGCTGGCCCTATAAAATGCAATCAATAATTAAACTTTACAAGTGCCTGTAAAAACATAAAAGTATCCGGCACGAACGCAATCAAAAATTAAAATCGCGCTTATGGTCGGGGTGGGTAACTAAGCTTTGTTGGCATGCAAACAATGGCACGAGCATAAACAACAAACAATAAATAAGGCGCCGAGCGGTAATGAAAAGTTCAATTGTAAAGAAAGCGAGCCCAAATGTCAGTGAAACAGGAGCCAATTGAATGGCTAGTGGAGGCAAAGAGCCTTGTGAGCCAAGTTAATTTCACAAATGTGTCGCCTTAACAAAAGGGTTAAAAATGCCCAAGAGTAAGAAAAAGTCAAAGGGAAAAGGAAAGCGGGAAAATTGTAGGGGGCCGCAGCAGTCAACAGGCATTGTTATCGATGATTTCCAGGCTGATATGTTGACAATGGGTAAACGGAGAAAAAATTTGAATACTGCTTAGGCACTACAGATAAAAATATATATATTTTTTATAAGATTTATTAAAGGGATTTCATGGTATAAAGCTATGAGAAATTTCCTGAAGATAACTTCACAACAGCAATCATTTCCATTGTCTTAATATCGAATCCTCAATTATTTCTCATTGTGTACAATCGGAAAATCGCACACAAAACCCTTAAGTCAATTGTTGTTGATGAGAACCAAAATAAGGATTGGTTGATCAAATAAAATCCCTGGGAAATACGAAGCTGATAGCGGACTCAGGGAAGTCCGAGAGAAGTCGAGAATCCAGAGCGCTTTCCTCTCCAGAAGTCGTCACAGTGCTCGACATAAGTATGTCAGCGGGCAGCGACAATCGCGTGCTTTATCGCTGCGTACTACCCTTTGTTTTCTGGGTCTGGGCGGAAGCGAAACCACTTTGAATGGTTTGACATGTCAACGTTGACATAAAATAAATCACCAAGCAGGCAAACTGCACTTGAAACTGCGCGGCAACTGTTAACTGGTCAGTAGTTTTCTGGGCGGTACTGTTGGGCGGTGGCCGTCAAAGGGGTGAATCGGCGGGGGTGGCTAGGGAAAAAAGAAAGCAAGAAAATTGGGCACTCAAAATGTTGTATGTGCCAATTAAATGGGGGCAAGGAAAATGTTGCCAATGTACAAATGTGAATACATACGAGCTGGGGGAAAGTTGGTAGTTGTGTGGGGGGAAGGGTGGTAAGGGTGGAAGGGGGATAGTGGACAACCAAGTTGTTGACAAGGCAAAAGGAAGTCTGTTGATGTTGGCAAATGAGCGAGGGGGAGGAGAAAAGCAATTGGAGTACTTGAAACTTGTACAAAACGAAAGGGGAGAAAGTGAGTGTGTGTGGTCAGGCTCGTTGACAGTTGAAACGAACAAATTGATCCCAGTTGTAAGGAAAAGTGCTGCACTCGAATAAAATTATTTTCCAAATAAAGTTAGTGGGTCCATACTATTAAAGCACTGAAACACCAATGGCATCTACATTTTTTGAAATATTAAAGCTGAATAATTTTTAATATACTATAACATCTTAAAATAAGAGTTTCATCTTAAATAACACATATATTGTTAAAAAATATAAATTTCTGTCAGGATAATTAATTAAGCCTATATTGTGAAAGAAATGTTTGCGAAATTAAGCCCAAACAAATTTTTTGGTATTTAGATAAAAGTTTAACTTTTCCAACAGTTTCATGGAATGCATTTAAATTAATTTAAATTTTTTTAGTGCACAAAGGAGCTATTATCCTTTAACTGGCCAGGTCCTCCCCTAACCGCTGAACATCCCAATTATGTTGGAACGACTAGGTGGTGGTGTGAAATTGAAAATGCTTTCCGTACTACTGAAATCTTGAAAAGCGGGCGGAAATAAATAGCAGGCAAATGCTGACATTATGCTCAGCCCGGCACCATCTCCATTTCCATTCTTAGCTGTTTTCGGTTCTGGGTCTGGTGTGGTCAGGTCTTTGGCATTCAACATGCAATGTCCATTACAGAAATTGCAATTCTGTGGCCAAAACAAAAAGGCGGCAGTAAGGAGGGGGTGGGAGCATAAAGTGCTGAAAAAGTTGCCACTTAAACAAGTGCAATCAGCAGAAGTAAGTCAAAAGCGGCAGGCGATGAGGAAGGATCGGCCCGGAATGGAAATGGTCGGTGGATGGAGCCAGTTTGGGCTTAAGAGTGTGCGAAATCGACAAAGGAGCAGTAAATTTTATTGCAGCCTAGGAGGAGGGCCACAATTGCAAATGAGCGCGACACGCCAGCCCCGAAAAATGCCGTCGAAACGGGGAGCGAAATGAAGTTATAAACCAGCACAGTCTGTGTGGGTAGTAAAAATTACCAATCTTCCCCGAGTTCCCCCATCCAAATCATAAAGAATATACATTGGAACTGGGGGGCAGCCATTGTGCGCTGGCATTGGAAGTCGGGCGAAAACCCTGGGTTTATGTGGCCACTAATGCATAATATTCAGCGTTGCCTTCTTTTGCACGTCATGAATTTTCCACACGGTGGTTTCTGCCCCTCTGACTCCGATTTTCCCCTCTGATCCTTTATCCAGCAACTCTCCGGAGCATATAGTGAACTGAAAGCCGCAGTTCGCAGGAGAAAGCATCAACTAAACCGAAGGGGGACATTTTGGTTTAGCATTTTGGTTACCCTAATATTTTATGGAATTTTCTTTCTTTGTTAAATATTTCCAAAGGCACTAGATATTTATTAGTAAAATCTTAACTTTTGAAGATTTTAATAGTTTTTGCTTGTTCAATTCGAAGGTACACAAAGAGAGGTATAGAGACTGATTTTAAATGACTAATTTTGAAATGTTTTTTTGGATCCAGTATAGAAATTATTGTCAGTCAAGGATCCCATATACCCTTAAAAATTCCTTGCATAGCAAAAGTGTGCTAAAAATGGCTTTTACCCTACTTTCTTTTTTTTCGCTCTGTGTGTCAAACGGAAGTGCAGGCGTTTTCCGCTTTGGCCAAAGTGAGCGTTGGCCATATTGTTATTGTGTTTGCTGTTGTGGTTGTTGTTCTAGGCAGGTTGTCGAGTACAAAATTGTGTGCATTTTTATAAAAATTTCTTACTTCACTTTTCCGTTGTTGTTATTATTATTACGACCATTGTTGTTGCGTTGTTGTGGCACATTTCGGAGCACGGAAGTGCAACAATACGGGCCATGCAAGAACACAAGCTATTTACTAAAGCGAAAATAGGACCACGAAAATGGGGAAAATACTTAAGAAGTCGAAAGTTAGCATAATTTCTACTTCATTTATTTTTCATTTATGGCAGCTTTGAAAAGGTTTCCTTTAAGAGATATAAGCCTTGAAAATATCTGTAATTATATTCGGTTCGTTTTTAAGTTTCAAGAATGAACTTAATTTTTAAAATAATTTTTACTGCACTTTTCTCAAGTGCGAAAGAGTTCAACTCTTTACTTCATAAACAAAGCACAAATGACAATTGAGTGTTGTTCTTTAAAAGGACCCTCGAAGCCGGCAAGCCTTAAATTTATTTTACAGCTTCCTCACTGGACAAAAGGTCAAATGCCAAAGAGCACACAAAGGAATAAAGGGAGAAAGAGAGTCAGAGTGAATGCGAACTGAATAAACAGAAAGTGTACAAAGACAACAACATAAAATATATTTATGTGGCATGGCAGAGTTTCCTCCTTTTACTTTTTTTTGTTACTATCATGAGTCCTAAATTTTGCTGCTGTTTCTTCTATTTCTTAAGAGCTTTGTTTGCGTGGTCCCTTCTCCGCACTCGAGCAGTGTATCTGTTTCACCCGAGACAAATCCAAAGCCAAAACAGATGCAGGAGATGTACAGATATGCAAAACTAAACAAGCAAATATTTCAGCATTGCATAACTAAAGCACATGGTCTAAGTTTTCATGTGTATGTTGGAGGGTGTGTCTCTGGCTCTCATTTGTTTATTCTACACAGAGAACAAACTAAATAAACAGTATCACCAGCAGTTTTTCATTCTAAGTTTTTAATTTCATTTACAATCAAAAAACCATACAAAAAAAGCAATACAAATTTGTTTTAAAATGTGTCCATATTAATGACACTTTTTGATTAATTAAAGACAGATAGATTAATTATCATAAATCAAACAAATAGTATCAAATTACAACATAATTGATGTATTTTTTATCATTAGTTTTTTCATAATTAAAAGACATTATAGTAATTTTTTTATTCATTGACTATTATGTAAAATATTTGATATAAATATTTGGCCATATTAAGTGGCATACATTAGCTGGAAGGCATTTTTGGTGGCACTTTCCTTTCGCTGTGCATTTCTGTATAATGTCGGTGAACAGAACAATACGAAGCCAGAAATATGGACTCTTTGAGCTCTGGTAACGTGTGTGCAAAAGTGCATAAGTGAGTCGGACTTGGCTGGCAGCGGCTTTAAGTCTCCGCCAAAAGGAAACGCTGAAAACTGGCACGCATTTGAATGCTGCTGCTCATTAGGAAGTGGGTGTGGATGTGGGTGGTGGTTAGGTGGGAAGGTGGGCAGGTGCACTCCCGCCAGGTGGACATGGCAAAGAAATGCTAATGTCGCTCTTGCCACTACGGCTACTGCTTTTCTGCTGCCTGGCACAAAAACCCGTTTTCTGATGCCTGCTCTAAAAATGGCAAAGCACTTGGCAAAAAAGCAAAAGAAAATAAAAGAAAGGAGCGTGCTTCTTTCAGGAATGTTGGCCAAAATACTCTTTAGTAGGTTTATGTAGTGATCGTATTAACTACAACAGTTGTGTTGAAAGATACATTAAAAAGTTTAATGTAAACTAAAATACATAAAGCTCCTAATCATTTAATATTTCTATTATTATAGAAAGAGCTATAGAAATCAAAACCTCCTATGTATTTAGGTTTAAGCTAAAATATTTGTTAACGGCACAATAAGTTTAATCCAGTAAAAAGTAAGAATTTTATTGTGACCCTGGCACACATTTGGGAATCGCTTTTGGTAAGGGTATGTAAGGCAGGCTAAAATAAAAAAGTCCAAGGAGAAAGAGTAAAAAACTAGTGCAAACTTTATGTGTGTTTTTGTGCGGAGTAAATGCAAGTCAGCTTCAGGTGTGTGTGTGTGTGTAAGAGAGTTTGCGTTGGCTGTGCCACCTTATGTTGACATTAAAAAAAGTAGACTTCACCCGAGCCTTAAAGCAATCTTGGTGTGCGCTTTAAAGTGAAAGCAAGAGTCAGATAAATTGTCAAAAAATACAAATTCTGACTTTAAGTGCGGAAAAAATAGCAACAATTGCATTGCCAAATCATAATTTTAACTGGCGTTTCTCTCTGGCTCTCCAATTGTTTTTTGCTAGATTTTTGCATTGTGTTTCTGTTGGAGAAGAGGCCAATAAATCACTGGCAACCATTAAGCCGCCTTGCTACACATGCGCTAATCTACTCCAGCACAAACACACACACAGAGCTAGTATGTGAAATATTTTCATAAACAACATAAAACTCTACCAAATGGCAGTTATTAATCAAATTAATGTGCGTTTACCTCTCTGTATTTCCGTCTACATATATGAAAATCTATATATGCCTGGGCGACACATTTTTCAAACATATCAAGTGCAGTTTTTGGCCCATCCGTGGCTTAGTTTTAGTGAATTTCCAGGTGGATTTAATGGTACTTGTTCAGTCGCATTGCTTTTTATGGCTACTCATCAAGCATTTTGCGTAATAACTATGTAATAATAGAAAAATATACAACAAGCATGTCAGAGAATTTATTTGTTTCCACGCACGACACTGACAGAAAAGTTTAGAAAACTCTGGTTATTTATTGTAGATTAGCTAAGTGCAATGGAATTTAAAATATGCCACACTGAATAATGTACACCCTGTGTAATTGTTTTAAGCTGCACATTAGATTTATTATTTGTTCACAGTGTATTATGAGCTCTCCTTTGAGAGAGTGACCGACCACCCGTTGCTATTAAATTAATGTGCGCTCATATACGCACACAAAAGCTAATTTCAGCGCTTGATTAAGTTGAAGTCGTTAAAAGGGGCCAAGTGCCGCACGCTGCGTATGAGTAATGTGGCTGTGCGTCTGTGTGCTGATTTAAGTGGAGCCCACTCCTCAGCAATTGCACCACCATGGTGGCTAGTTAACATGCCCCACCAGCCAACTAAATTAGAGGTTCCAAGGATAGATTATAACGGGCACTTCAATCCAGGTAATGGAGAGCTTGAAAAGTAACTAGTGCCCAGTAAGTCTTGTCCCCATATTGTCCAGTATCTGAAGAATACAAATAGCTTACCATAACTCGCAAAATACAATATTAAATGGATTATTTGAAGATTAATTTATAAATACCAGTTTGAAACGATTTTCCCAGCATCTCTTGTTTACAATATATTCCTTCTTTTTGCAGGGTCTCCACCGCCGACTGTCATCTGGCTGATGAATGGGCAGCTGCAGAACAGCGTTGTCGATTACACATACGATGGGGCCATCAACAGCAAACTGGTGGTTCGCAACCTGTCACGAATCCACCAGCATGCGGTCTACACCTGCCAGGCCAGCAATTTCCACAAGAAATATGTGGCCACCAACATAACTATCGAGCTCTACCGTGAGTATAAAACTGCTATATTGGTAAAATATAATTAAACATCAACCACTGAATTTAGTGTCTTGATATTAAAGCTTAAAATCTAGTGCCTGCTTTTAAAGAATTTACCAAATCAAAGTTTTATTTTTCTTTCTCAAATCAGAAGGTGTTTTCATTTAGATTTTAAATTCCTTCTAGCGTCTTATGACTTTATAGTAAATTGCAGGCCCACTGCATTGAAACGAGTTTAAGTGACCCAAATATGGTGCTAAAAACGTTTTGCCAAACAATTTATTTATTTATTGTATTTATTTCAGTTTTTCTGATCCTGAGTTCTTGCTTTTGTTGTTCGGTTTTAAGCGTTGCGATAAAAGTTTTAACAAATAGCTGTGCAGATAAAAACGAACCAGCAGCCACCCCAAAAAAAGTAGAGAAGAACCCAGGGAGGCTGAGCAGGAAAAAATAGATAATAAAATGGCTTATGCAAATATAACAAAATGCAAACGGCAACAGCAGCAACATTGCATGCGATACCCGAATGCCCAAATAAAAAGTATACACTGAATAGGGAAAACAGAAATTCCTGTGCGTAACTTATCCTACCTACTATGGCCTCTGACCTGGCACATATTGTTCGCCCCAACATCATATCAAACTCTCCTTTTTTTTTGTTTTTTTTTTAAATGTAGAAGTTTCAGTCAGGTTAGTGGACTGTGCATGACCCCAGTGGATTTATTATTTTGTGAAATTTTTTTAAATGCCTCTTTTGTACGCTTTTCACGGGCAGCAGTAGTGCAAATTGTTAAATTGAATTAAATTGTTGCCAATTTCGAGAGTGAGTGTGAGTGGTTGAGAGAATTGTGTCCTGAAAAGCTGTTAGCTGCGAGTTTATTTGCTGCGACTGAAATATATTTACAAATTCTGTCAGCTTTATTAAGGGAGAGCATTATAAATAAATTGCAATTCCAACCATCAGATATAAAAACATCCTTAACGAAAACGAAATAAAAGGTCATTATAGTATCCTTATCAATTAATTATCAATCACTTTATTTTCGTATAGCCCTATAATCTAAAATCTCCAACGATCTGAAGAAGTCATGTTTTTATTTTAAAAATATTTATAGTATTATCCCGACGAAAACCAGTTATGATCTTTAAGTTCCTGCCACCTCTCCTTGTTCTCCTTTCATCTAATATTTTGTTGGATGCTCGGTTATTAGGCCCATGACATTGCGCTAACAGCCAAAGATTGGCCATAGAATTTTATGGCACTTTGGCGCGTCTGTCATGGCTCTCAAAATGCCAAAGCAATTGGACGTCAATTCCTACTTAGGTTCCCAGTACCCCAAAAATAATGTAGATTTCCAGCGACAGCAGCTGGTGATGCGCATATTTGATATTATTGCCTTGAGTTGGCCAAAATACTGGCACTAAGGAAGAGCATAAGAATATGGACATAAAAGTTAACACGCCAATAAGAACAGCTTAAGATGAGGCGTTGGAATTTCTATAACTTGGTCAATTAATGTGGCCACAGTTTCTTACCGCGTTTAACAAATGACCTTGAAATGAAGGTAGTGGTAGAAAACTTAACCAGGTTTTTTCACTTTCCCTTTACAGAAATTCTGTTGTTTTTGGTAAGCTTCGCGTGTAATGAGAGAATAGGAGCATGGGGAACAGGGCAGTTGTATAATAAGTACGACCTTAATTAGTTAATTTTATGGCCACTAACAATTAGATTACGCCTGTCACGAGACTCAGTCCCTCACACAAAACAATTATGAGAGTTCCTCATTAGCACACAATTTAAGGCCCCAAAAGGGCTGGTCAAAGCCGAAATGCAACATTTAATTGAATTAAAGCGTTCCCTCTGTATTCATTAATTTCGTTGCAGTTCTGGCTTAGGTTTCCCCATGGTTCCAATTCCAATCAAAAATATAAGAGGCAATCACATCACAAAATTGACACTTCTTTTATTTTGGATATTACTGCAGAAAATGTAGCTTTAAAAATTTATTGGATCTGTTTGCATAATTGGTCGCAGTTCAGGGCCTTTGGGGCCAGGTCTTCTATGCTCGCTGGTGTAGTGCGTTTAATTAAACATTTAAATGATTTTCCAATGCAAATGTGCATAATTAATTTAATTACAATAAAGCGCTGCTGCAGCAGCAACAACAAACGCATCGAAACCTGTTCAATGCCTACGAAAACAATTAAAAAGTGGAATAATATTGTAATGTATGCAGGAGAAAACAAAGGGAAAAAAATGGCATTGAAATAAATAAAATTGTAGATAGTTGCATGCACCTCCCTTTCTCTGCCACTCTTTTGGTTTTTCTTTTTTATTATCGCATTTGGGCTTAACTGAAATGTCACGCCTTTAAATTAACGCATAAAATGTGCGGCCAACCGCAGCAAATGTAACAACAACTGAAAAAAGTAACAACAGTTGGCTTAACTTGTTAAATTGCAGGAAATGTATGAATACATTATTAAAGGTATCTGGAAAAGTATACCCTTTCATCAGTTTATTTCCCTGTTTTGTGAATCTTTAAGCTAATAAGAAAATTGAATAGACAATAGAGATTTTAAATGAGGAAAATGCATTCCGTAAATATTCATTTAAAAGAATAATTCGCTTATCAAACGATATTTTAATATTTGTAATCATTTTCCACTTGAAAACCAAAGGGCGTAATTTATAATTTTCCATGAATGCACGAAAGTGCAAAAAACTATAGGTGAAACACACACAAACAATTCCATCGATAACGATGCGAAATTGTGTAATGCTGATAATGAACCTGAACTCCGAAGCGTTACGTGACCATATTTAGGTGACGGAAAAAAATATGTTTGTTATTGTTTATTTGTTTGGCCAATTTTCAATTTAGTGGGTAAACAAATTGCTGTCAGCATAAATATTAACAAATATTCAAATTACATAAATGTAATTGCATGAATATTTATTGGCTGAAATTTAATGCATTGTTTGTGATCTTCCAATCGAACAATAGCCTATGCCAATTGGCCATAAATAGTCATCCTTCGCAATGCGGAAACAATATTTTCCCGTTTAGCTTCTTTTTATAAAGTTTTCGATGAAATAGAACAAGCGGAACGAAAAAACTGAATGAGAATTTTTCGCAATTATAATTGTTACCCTGAATGATTAACTTTTTATCAAGTATTCGCTGTTTTTCTGTAAAAATAAATATATAATTTGTGTTGGAAATATGGACAAAAATTGCTGATGCTTTTCCTCGATTCGTGTCAGTTCCTTTGCCTTTGCCTTGTTCGTCTGACATTTATCATTTCATATAATGGGTCCCTTTATGAAAAACATAAATATTTGCTGCCCTATGCTCAACATTGTTGCACTTCCCCAGTTGTTCTTGCAGCAATTTCTGTTGCTGGTGGCTATCGTAATTTGTTGCAATTAATTTTAATTGCATTGGCTGTCATTTACATTTCGATTTCGATTTTTCACACACAATTTGAATAAATCAACAAAAAAGCTGCTGTCGCACCAAACAAAATGGAGAAAGCGAGAAACAAAACCAAAAAAGTGTCAGGGGAGGAGGGCAGAAACCAACCATAAATGACATTTAAGCAAATAAATTAAGGATGGAAATTAATGTGCGTTTATAAACAAACTGTTTGCATTGCAGTGCGGCCTCTTCTGGTGGAAATCAGCTTTAACAACCAGCCGATGTCAGCAGATCGAAAGTACGAGATCGAATGCCAGGCGATTGGATCAAGGCCGCCGGCCAAGATTACCTGGTGGATGGGCAATCTCGAACTACTCGGCCACAGTCAGAAGGTAAATTAGCAAATATTTTTTAAATTTTTGTTATATATTTAACTTATTATTTCTACAAAAGGTCTCGGAGGATGGCAATGTGAGCACTTCGGTGCTATCGATCACACCCACAAGAGAAGATCACGGCAAGGCTTTGTCCTGTCGGGCAACCAATGAGCTCGTTCGCAATGGAATTCGAGAAACGGCCATGAAATTGAATGTTTTCTGTAAGTATAAAATATATATACATTTCTCATACACTTAATAATGTATGCTAAAACGTTTCGATAAGGGTTTTTACGAAATTAGTAAACAAATACATTTTTAAATGAAAATAAGTTATACATCCTGCATTTATTAAAAAAAGTAAAAATATGAGAGCTTGATATTTGAGTACAAATTTTAAACGCGATAAAAAAATAATATATATTCAAGCTTTTGTTTTAGTTCTATAAATATTTAATAAAACATGAAAACCAAGTAAGGAAATAAAGAGAAAATGAGGTTCAATTTTACTTGTAACTTTTTATGTTGCTTTTGACTAATTTCTAGATTAGGGTAACCTATATAACTCCCCTTTTAGTTTTGAAATCAATCAAAACCATTGTCAACAGTTCTTCCGGAACATTTTCTGTACCAGGAACAGACGACCCGCTCCGCTTTAATAACACCCCGTTTTGACATATGCCGCTGCTTTATGAGTGCCCCATAAACCATCGATGGGCCCTCGTTCTGGTTCTCGTGCGAACCCATAAACTATGTCAACCGCTTATCGCCCATGTCCTTCGGGGAATCAATACTGATTTGCATACCAATGCCATAGTGACAGGGGGGCGGGAGGCGGTATTTCGGAACTCTGTTCCAAATATTGGCGGGCCTTACATAATACATTCAATTTTTTCTTTTTGCGTTCCAATGGCTCGTATGTCAAACGTTTGTTTTATGGGCCGCGTCAACAATGTGCTGAGGGTAAAGTTTGTTAATAAAATTTCTATGGCAAAATATTAAAAACGCGCGCGGCCAAGAAAGTTGTGCACAACCACACACACTATACGACAAGCCGGAAAGCTCACTTCAAGCCACACCCACACACCACACATATGCGCGTAAAACCCTTAATGTTTCAATAGTCCTGGGGTCTCGTGTCCTCGTCTTCTGGGCTGTGACGACAGCGTCTTGGGCAAACAGTTGCCACGTCTATTATCTAAAAAGCTTGCCGCCTCGTTGTTCCCCAATGCCATTGAAACTTTTACTCCTTTCGGTGGCTGCCGCGATGATGGGGATGCTTCCCCGTTGTGCTGCAGATGATGCACTGAGAGAAACGGCTGGGGTGAAATCAGAGTCCCACATTTTTTTTCTTATTAAAAAAACTCTCCTATTAAATATTTTTATGATGTATTTAAATACAGAAATATAAAAATATAGTACATTAAAAAGTTAACTTCTCTTTCACAGTCATTATTTAAATGACATAAAATTCCGTTAAATACAATCTTTGTTTTTGACTTTATTGTAAGCTTTTTTTCTCAGTGTGGTCCTGTCTTGTCGCAAAAGAGTAGGGCACAGCTTCTGCGCGGGCGCTGATATAAAAAATTAGATAACAATTTCAATTTCCATGCTCATTTACATGTTTATAGCGTGCTTAAAATATTTTGGTCCCCCTCCGTTTTCCTTCTCCTGACACTTCCTGAGATTTCATATTTCCCGCCTCGACCTTCCGCGTTTCCACGAAAAGATTTTGTGTCTTTTTTAAGCGCGTTCTTTGTTTGCCTCTTGCGTCGGGGGTAAATTGAAAAGTTGATGCAATGTCGTCTGCTAACAGACTTGAGATGGGGCAGGTTGAAGTTGAAGCTGCCAATAATTCTCTCATTATATTACATCACATTTAGCCGGGGCCGTAAAAAAGTTATCTCTAATATCTTAATCCGATCACCTCAGCGCAGGCAGACCTCTTATTTTCCAGACAATCAACTCAGGTTAGGCTTCCCAAAATGAAATCAACAGGAAACGACAGGCCCACAAAAGTTAAAGTCATATCCGCAATAAACATAATGACGAGGCAGATTTTTTGATTAAACAAAATTATGGACTAGATAAGAAATTAAGGGTTTGGATTAAAGGGGGACAATTTTATCTTACTTAAACAATTATTTTTCAAAATGACATAATTAAATAATATACAATTTATAAAAATAAATTGTGTTAACAAAAAGTGCTAAAAATACTATTGCATTTTTTTTAGGATTTACATTTTTGTGGCTTTATTAAATAGTTTCCCAATCATTTATTGGATCTAAATGAATTGTAAACTTTTCGATATAACTGAATTACCCCCATGAAGGATATAAAAGAATAGGAAGAGGAAAATAAGCTCTAAGCTTAATGCAATTTATATGGCAGTGGAGGCTAGTGGAATCAATTTAAGGACTGCTAACGAGGACTGGTTCAACTTTGTGCAATAGACAATGACAGACCTCACCCACACTCATATACAACCACCCACACACTGGTAAACACACAGATGCAGTCCTTCGTATTGCAACTGCAGCTAAAGCATAATGTGCCACTGGCACTCAAAAGTCGTTACGTTAAGCTGCAGTTACGACTGGGATGGGCTTGCTTTGGTTTTTCCTCTCGTTTTCGGGACATTCGCTCCACGGGGGACATGTGGGTGGGATGGGTCAGGGAGTCACCGAGATGGAGGACCATAAAATGCATTAGCCAGACGTAGTTGGCCAGCTTGGCCAGTGACAGTTATTACCACTTAAGCCCATCCTAACCGCAACAGTGTGGCCTGGCAGCCACTTGGAGTTTCCTTCGTAGGATGTCTAACTGTCATTATGCAGATGAAAAAAATGCGGGTTTTATAAATTTGGATTATATTAAAATTATTAAAATATTCTTCCTTTGAAAAACTATGCTTATACCTTCTTCAAACTAACATCTTTTAAAAATACAAGATAAAAACGTTGGCATAACCATAATTTACTAAACAAAATAAAAAGCAACATATATAAAAACACTTTCCAAATTCTGAAAATTAAAACTGAAATATTTAATAAACAATCTTGTTTTGCCAAGTGCACATCCTTTATTTCCATTGTCCCTTCGTTTCTGCTTAGTTTTCTGTGCCGGCTTAAAGTCATCGCTAATGAACTTGTTGAGCGGGAAAAAGATAGACACAATGAGTGGGGCAAAGGGGGATGCTGGGGCAGTGGGAAAGGTCTTTAAATTATGCAAACTGCTCTGACTCGTTCTTCCTGTCCTCATTGTCCTTGCCACCCCCGCTCCCCTCCCCATTCAGACGGTTTTCGTCCATTCTCTTTCCATTTCTGAGATGCTGTGTGCTAAAGCACTTTTCATTTTCATTAACAAGTCTTTGCGAAAAGACGAAATCGGCTTAAAGAAACTTGCTTATAGAACGTGCCACCCAAGAAAGCGGAAAAGAAAAAGGCATAAACACTAAGCACACAGAGACACCAGACCAAAACTACGAGTAGGTAAAGTTGCCAAAAACAATGTGCAAAATAATAATAAACAAGTGGAAGGTGGCGAAGAGCCGAGGGGCGGTAGAAAAACATAGATAGAAGGCGAAGACGAAGCGACACTAATCACGGATAAGCCCGGATTAACCCCCTTTTTCCGCCCATTTCATGCCTTTCTTGGGCTCGAGTTGAAGGATTGCCCAAAACAGCAAATTACGTTTGGTGGACTTTCCTCCGACTGAATACCACTCCCAATCCAAGTCTAAGTCTCAGCCTAAGCCAATTGAATACAATGCTCATCCAGTGTTTTGTTTTTTTTTCCCACTTTCTTTGCAGTCATTCCCACCTTGCAGCTGGACTTGGGCTCCAATCTAAATCCGGAGGATATCGAGGAAGGCGATGACGTTTACTTCGAGTGTAAAGTGCATGCAAATCCGGCTGCTTATAAAGTTGTATGGAAGCATAATGTAAGTGACCAAATAAAAAACTTCCCTTGACTTGCAATATTTATGAAGGGCTCTTTCAAATATAAGAGCTCTTTTTATTGAGACAAACACAAAGTAAAAGCGAAGAAGAGTGTGGTCTAAAGTGTAAAGTAAACTTTTAGCAAAAATACCTCTTTAGGTCACATAAAATATATTATTTTTGGCCATCAAGTTTAGATGTCTTTTCCAAAAAAGGCAGGCTTAGATACACAGAGAAACAATGTTAAGATATATGTTTGATATACATAAGAATTGAAAAATGTTCTTTAAACAAAGAATGAAGTGTTTGCTATTTTATTTAATTCGAATTAAAACAACCTTAATATCCTATATTTATATAAATATATTAAAGGTATATAAGTTCCATGTAAATATTTTATTTATCTTTTTCTCTGTGTATTGACCTTCAAACATACTTCAAATGTTGCACTCAAGGCAATTGAGCGTACAATTGCCAAACTTCCGGCAATTCCCAAGACATTGGCGTGCTTCTCTCACACACGAGCCACCGCCTGGCTAAATTATTATGAAACCGAAATTAAGTGGTCATTTTTACTGAATTATTGGCCAATTATTTTAAGGCAATTGAGTCAAGTGGCTGGCATAAGACAGGGCTTTGGTATGGGGAGAATTTCGGGAGTCCGTACAAGTTTACAAGGCAAATCATTTGTTTATTAGTGGCAGCACAAAAAACTCTCACCACAGCAACAACAATGGCTGCCAAATAAATGTTATTCAATGCCGAACAAGAAACGAATCAAGTGTATGAATAATATGAATGCTAATTGAATTCATTCACAATGAAGTACATGGCCAAACAAAGAGCTAAGCTAAACAACGGCAACAGCAAAACCAACAACTTAGTCATAACTTTTACCGAAAACAACAATAAGGAAATACAAATACTCGAAGACGACCAAAAACTTTTTCGTAGTAGGGGGCGCCAAAGGACGTATATTTAGTACAAAAGAACTTCCACAAGACATGAGCGCAGGCCAGAGGGTAGGTAGATAAAAACTTTATATGAAATAATAATTTACCCGACAGACAATGGGACTGTTTTGGTTCGAGTGCTATTTCCATTAAGGTCTATCTTGCATCGAACAAAATGCTAATTATATAGGGGATACAGACGGGATGGGGAAAGTTAAAGGCAGAGAGGGGGATGGGGTAAAATCAATGAGCTTTAGAAGTGAATGTTAAATGCAAATGAACTGACAACAGAAATTACAAAAGAAATTTAACTCTAAGCCGAAACTCAACTACTCTTGCAGATGTTGTAGTTATAACTCCTCTAATTTTAAAGTCGGATTTATTATAATATTCCAGAAGATGGTCAATTTGTTTTCTATTTATTTAAAATTTAGATATGTAATATTTTTAAATACCTAAGACTTTGATATGCTTTTTATTACTTTATGCTTTGTCAGCTATAAAGTTGAGCCATTCAAAGCTAGTAATACCTACAATGTGTTTTATCCTCAGTAAACTTTAAAAACAATGCGTAATACCCGCTTTTACGGCACACAGAATATGTCTGGCTGGCTAACAAGCCAGAAAGCGACAGCAGCTCAGTTAGTTAGTTAGTTGGCAATCGTCACTTACATTTATCCAGCTCAGCGTGAAATCCTCTACACTTTTCCCTCTGCCCTCTAACTTTTCGCCTTAGCCGAGTGTCATAACAATAAAAGTTCACTGCGGCAGTACAAAAATGGAAATGAAATGGATACGAAACTAAGCCAAACACACACTGTGAAAATAGTGAAACAGGGTGAAAGGCGGAGGGGTTAGACAGACAGCCACACTTGGTCGAGCTGTGCACATGGCGTATGCGTAATGAGTTCAAGGCCATGCGGAAAATTGCAAATGACTTGGACGAAGTGAAGGCGAAGAAGCCAAGTCGGGCGTTCATTAAAAGTCAATTGTTAATTGGCAACAGTGACAGTGCAACCTGCAAATGCAATTAAAAGTCAAATCAAGTTATATCAACTCGGTTGCATCCAGTTAACAAGTAAATTAATTTTTGTTTTGCCACCACATCGATTCGGTTTGAACCATTCTTCTTGGCTGAACAGCCGTAGGGCGAAACTGGAACGCAGGCAACTTGTCTTCGTCTGTTATTATTCAATTAGACAAGCTGACAATTAACGACGAGCTGGCAAATTAAATTAACAATTAGTTTTATTAAACTTGCACACACAAACACACACACTCACAAGGGAGAAAGTTCTCCAACGCGTGTCTATATGCGTGCGAGTAAAAGTTTTACATGTTCATTAACAACAACATATAGACGAAGAAGGAGCAGAACTTTGATGGAATCGTTGCCAGAGCAACCAGTTTGCTCCGAATGAATCCGAATCCTTTTGGCAGTAAAAGTTATTTGGCCCACACACTCGCATTTATCTGAGTTGCGTCAGGAACCGCAGAAAAAGCAAACATAGCCGGAAAATTTGATTAGAGAACAAAGTCGGTGGAAACGACTTTAGAGTTTTCCAGCAACTTGAGCATGAATATTTACATAGTTCCACCAGACAAATGGAAATGCTTGGTTGGACCATAAAGGCAGTTGCAAATTTGCATTGATTTAAATAAATGTTTTCATTCCCATTTTGAACTCTCAACTGCAAATATCAGGTTAGCAGACCCATTTCAATAAAATAAAACGGATAATTGAATAATATTTTTTTATTTTTTTGTTTATTAGTTAAAACTCGATTTACAATTTCATTTTATAAATTTTGAAATTGTAGCTTCAATTTATTTTAAGTAATTTAAAGCCTCCCTAAAAATATATATTTTTATTTCGCCAGAATTATTTACAATTGTTTTTGTATTTTATATTTGAAGAGATTGCTGTGGCATACAATTAAAAAAAATGTTTAGTGGAAAGTTCAGCTGATAAAGTTTAGACAAATATCATGATAAATGAATGTAAATAGTTTTACATTTTTAAATTTTAAGGGCGCATAAAAAATTAAATTAGCGCACTCGAAAAAGGGCCTTAGACCTAACGCACAGTTCTTTTGAAAAACTTTAAAGAAGAGCAGCCTCGTAAGAAGTGCCCAGGGAACGGCTAAACCAAATCAACTCAATCAGACCGGGCCATCAGATAAATTACGGACACTAATTGGGTATTTATAGTCGGAACAAACATCCACGACAGACGAACACGAGGGGCGGCGTGGGTTGTGATTGTGGCCCAGGGCTCTTGGCGCTTGAGGAGTGGCAGGCAAACAAGTCGAAAACACGGCCGAGAGACAGACAAACAGAAATGGCAACGCATAAAATGCGCCATTAGCATTGAGGGGCACTAAAGGGTTGTGCAGACATCATCAAGTCAGCGGGAAGTGGGTGCCGTCGGGGGGAGGGGGTGGTGACCTCGAGCGGAAATTCTGCAGCGGATGTGCCCCGAACTATTTGAAATAATCCTCAACGCCCACTGGGGCGTAACGGCTTTGCAGGCCTACCTTCTGTTTGCCTTTGCTTACACTTTTTGGTTCGCTTTTTTTCTTTTTTTTTTTTTGGGCTGCCGACAACCTTGAACTTTATTTACTTTTCGTATATGCATGGCGACATTTTTATTTGTTTTATGACAACAAGGTCGCTGAGCCAAGCCACAGTTCGTTCCCTTTCCCTTTTGGGCTATTTAAGTTAACCCTACGGGAATTGAGGCTGTGCGGAAAACGAGAAAGGTCCTTTGCCGGGGTGGGCACACCAATGCCTTTGGGGCTTTTCTGCACTTTAAGGATCTTTAAACAAGTCGAGAGAAATGCTAATAGCGACTAATCACTGCATATGTAACGGATACATCAGTATCGGCAATCTGGTTTCCGATGGCGCTGACACTTTGTCGATGGTATCAATCATTCTGCCTCAAATCAAATGGAATTCAATAGCCGGAATGTGACTTGTGGGCAAATATTGTCATTGGCATTCGGCGATTGTCTAACCATCTAAATAATTGTTTACATCTGCACAATGGAAAGGGCCACCAAACAAAAGACGCGGCTTGGTGTTTCCAGGATCTACGACCCATTCCCAATGCATTCGGATATAAACTGTAGCACGTTCTACTTCTCATGAACTATTATATACACTTCGAAATAGCATAAGTGTGTATGTTTTTATAATATTCTGCTATGGAAATGCTACTTACTTTGAAAATAACCTACAAGTAATTATCAAAATTTGAGTCAAACAAACCTTTTTGTTTATTAATTTTAAATGTTATATATCGTTTTTTTTATTACATTGATATTAAATATTTATTAAAAGTGATATTAATATTTTTAAAATCAAACATACTTTTTATTTAGCTAAAAAAGGTTTCGTTTTGTCAATTTTTTGAAGTGTAGCTAACAACACTATTATCTAAGTGTTGGGTTGCCTGGCTGCATTGTTTCTATTTATTTGCACACACATCCAGATATAGGCATCTCAGTATGGATGTGTGCTAAGGTCGTTGAGGCTTTGTTCGGCTGGCGCTGGCTTTTTGACTTTTGTCGACCATATTTATACACATTTTTATTTCTATTTCTATTTATTTCAATGCTTTCATTGTTGCCACGCCCCTTTCCCGCCGCCCACCGCTTGTTTGTTTGCTGAGCTCGGGCAAAGTGCGAATTTGTTTTGCTGCTAAATGGCACAAGGCTCTGGGGAAATGCGTCAAAATGTTGTCGAGTGCCGGCCTGTTGGGGAAAAGGCTACAAAACCAAAAGGCGAACATCAGGCTTCGAGCATTATTTCAAAATGAGAGCGAAAGTGCGGGAAAGGCGGCAAGAAGGTCAAGCCTCCGTAAGCATTTGGGTGTGAAGGCCTCTATGTGGGTGGCCCCACGCGAGTGTGTGTTTAAGGGAAAACTTAAAGTAAATATCGGCTGATTTTTCAGTATCGATGCCAGGCACGTAGCCATCCAAGGCGCAGCTCCTTAATGAAGCTGCGAGTTCAGTGATGCGCGCATTTATGAGTGCTTTTCCGGGGAGCGGAAAGTGTGCAAATAGGTGACCTTGTATCCAAGGCATATAAGTCAATAAATGCTGGCTGGGCAAACTAAATTTTAAAGGAGACCTAAAGATAAATTTAAGATGAAAGCATCGAAAGGGGAAGAAAATTGAACTCGTTCATATAAATAAGATTACACAACCCTTAACAAGAAACATGTGTCACTCTTATGAAAAATTAACAACATTCTTTAGACAATATTGAAACAATTATTGAAGCCACTCTGAAAAAGTTGTAAAATAATATAATAAATCCAGAAATAAACACATTCAGTTAATCAAATCTTAATGCCCTTGTGAGGTATTAAATGCAAGTGAATATAATTGGTAGGGAGCTGAATAAAATCTAATTAGCTTTGACCTCTCTTAAGCTGTGCCTTTCAGTCTCTAATTTGCTCATGTTTCCTCTTAATAACGACCTTTTCCTGCCAATTGCAGCACCAAATCATCCAGCACAACCAGCGAGCGGGCGTGATTGTCAGCAGCGGAGATCTGGCGCTCCAGGGAGTCACTCGTCACCAGGCGGGTAACTACACCTGCACCGCCTCGAATGTGGAGGGCGATGGAGACTCCAATGTGGTCGAGCTGAAAGTGATGTGTGAGTATCGCGATTAGTGGATGTTTGCGGGATATGTTGATTTGTGGCTCCTCAGCACACACACACACACACACACACACACCCCCATTGTGTGCCGCGTATTGTGTTGGCTGACCCATAAAAACGCTATCGAACGGCTGAGTTCGGGCCATTAACGAATGCTGCGGCGAAGGCTTAAATAGAAAATCGAATTCTGGTCCAAAACCACCCACTGAAATCCTTCTTCGGTTTCAGAGCTCCTGCTGCTGCTGTTTGGTTTCTCGAGTGGACCTTTGACACACAAAAACGAGCATTATTGAGTGTTCGAGTATGGCCAGAGATGAGGATGAATGGCGAGAAGCGGTGAATCCGGGGTTCAACGGGGAACTCCCGGCATTGTGCGCTCGTGCGGGCCTCTTGCAGTTTTATTGCGTATACGCCCCATTATTGTGCGCTGCTTGAATGCTCCTTTGTGTGCCGCTGAGCTGTGTACAGCTCGAAAGGGAGTATAGTGTATTCACAAGCAGCAATCTCTCACTTTGAACTTTCTCTGGCTTGGCGCCAACCTGGATAGTTTGGAATTTAAGCAACCGTATCTAACTAATTATGGAATATCCGATTCAGTATAGTAGACTCAATAGTCATAGTAATAAATATTTTGTGATAATACCAACTATTTAGGTATTTGAACTGTTTTTTTGCTTAATTTCTTCTTTTTCTTTTTTATTTAGACGACCAAATTTAATACATAAAATGAGATAAAGGGTATACAAAAATCATTTTCCCCAACTATATTTTTCAAACTGTTTGGGTGCTCAACTTAAATTTGTTGCGAAGCCTTCCCTTCTTGAAAGACAGGACCGCAAATCTTCTGCTCAATTTGTGCAGGATTCCTGAACTTGGTCCTGTCTCGAGTCAAACTTTGGTTAATTAGTTTGCCTTTTTCGAGCAATTTAGCAGGCCAGAGATCCTTCTATTCATTTTCGCCAGCAGGACCTTTAACCACTTTGTCTGTTGTTGTGGCCTTATGCCTTGGTTTTTTCCGGTGCCATTTCCCTTTTATCACTTCCACTGCTATTTTTTGTTCTTTGCTGGCCGGGTTTTTGTTTTAAAAAGAGCTTCCGCTGGCCACAAAACTCCGTGTCCAACTGGCAACTGTGTATTCCCCCGCTTCCCGAGCTTTGTTAAAAATTTGTTTACGGCTTGCCCAGCTTGGCATGCAATATCGACAGTTGTCAAATGGCACAATAAATTCGCCACTTGCAACTTTCGCAAGTTTCGTGGCTGGGACAAGAGACAGTTGAAAGATTTTCCCCGGCGAAGGATTAGAAAATTGAATATTCCCTGGCCTGCTCAACTCGGCTTTTCCTTGCATTTCTCGTCGCTTCTGCTAAAAGTTTTCGCTGGCAAAAGTTGTTCTTTTATTCAGGTCTTCGTTTTGTAGTTTTATAAAACTAAATGAATTTTGAACTGAAGAATGCAAAAAGGTTTTACTTGGTAAGAAGCAGTTTTTAAAGACAAATCCATGTTTTTTTTGTTGTTTTTTTTAAATTTTGTCTGTTGCTAAAAAGTTAATTTTTTATAATTCCCAATTTTAAAGGGTTTTTATTATTTTGAAACCGTATTTATTGGCGTAGGGTACTGTGGTATATTGGCGTAGAGGTAACTGTGGTATATTCTAAAGGTCACGGATTTTAATAGCTATTGGTTTAAAGTTTATTTAACCTTAAAGATGCGCAAAGGTAATTTAGCCCTTCGAAAGTAGCCCTCTAAGCCGTTTCTTATTGATCCACCCGTTTCGGCTCTGTTAGTTTGCTGCTTGAATGGACAACAATGGCGCTGGGGCAGCCACACAAAAGGGTGAACTTTCCTACTTGGGACTTTTGAGCCTGTAAGAGGCAGAGGGTGAAACAAAGAATCCTTCGTCCAGAGTTTGATGCGATTATTGATTCCAGCTGCAGATGCAAACAGCAGAATGCACTACAGCCAACTTTCTTTTGATCTCCGCACTCACCGTCTGTTTTCCCTGATTCCGCCCTACAGATAAGCCAATTTGCCGACCCGATCAAAAGAAAATCTATGGAGTGGCGCGGAACGAGGCGGCCGAAATCGTTTGCGAAGTGGATGCCTTTCCGCCGCCGGAGAACTTCAAGTGGTCCTTCAACAACACGGCGGAGACCTTCGACATGCCGCAGAGTGGTTTCCGGCCCCATTCCGCCCAGGGCTCCACCCTCACCTACACGCCCGTCAAGGTAAGTCCCGAAAGTCCGGAAAGTCGCCTGAGAACCGACAAATGTCAACGGCATTGCGGTCCGCAGATGCGTGACCCGGTCGTCATGTTAAATGCTAAGCACGTCAGACACTCGGTTCAATCCTGGTGGTTCAAAGTAACATGCGGCGCACTGATCAATTTTTCATATTTCATATTTCGCTGCGCTCGCCTTTAATTATACCCTTGCAGAGGGTATTATAATTTTGGTCAAAAGTGTGCAACGCAGTGAAGGAGACATCTCCGACCCTATAAAGTATATATATTCTTGATCAGGATCACCTCCTGAGTTGATATAGCCATGTCCGTCTGTCCGTCTGTCCGTCTGTCCGTCTGTCCGTCTGTCCGTCTGTCCGTCTGTCTGTCCGTCTGTCTGTTTCTACGCGAACTAGTCTCTCAGTTTTAAAGATATCGAACTGAAACTTTGCACACACCCTTCTTTCCTTTGCACGCAGTATATAAGTCGGAACGGCCGGGATCGGACGACTATATCCTATAGCTGTCATATAACTGAACGATCGGAAATGCCATAACTTTGGTGTTTGTAAAGTTAGGAAGTTGAGATTTTCAATAGGTTTTATTTTTGGCCAATCAATCTGACCTACCGAATTTCATGAGAATCGGCCGACTATATCTTATAGCTGCCATATAACTGAACGATCGGAAATGCCATAACTTTGGTGTTTGTTAAGTTAGGAAGTTGAGATTTTCTATAGGTTTTATTTTTGGCCAATCAATCTGACCTACCGAATTTCATGAGAATCGGCCGACTATATCTTATAGCTGCCATATAACTGAACGATCGGAAATGCCATAACTTTGGTGTTTGTTAAGTTAGGAAGTTGGGATTTTCTATGGGTTTTATTTTTAGCCAATCAATCCTACCTATTAAATTTCATAAGGATCGGCCGACTATATCCTATAGCTGCCATATAACTGAACGATTGGAAATGCCATAACTTTGGTGTTTTTAAAGTTAGGAAGTTGGGATTTTTGATGAGTATTAAGAATGCATATGAATAATTTTGGAGAATATAATTTTCAGAGTATTCTGCAAGGGTATATCAACTTCGGCTCCGCCCGAAGTTAGCTTTTCTTTCTTGTTTTAAATTATTATTGACACCGTTTGACATTTTGAAGGCCACACCGAGGCAAAAAAGTATTGGATAAAAAGAAAGAAATTGATTCTTGATGATTTGTTTCCTAATATTGGTGTAAAATTCTGTAGGCAAAAATATTATTTATTCACACTAATTATTATGGCAAAAGTTCTTTCAATCTCTAATTTGACATTTCCTTTTTGCCTTTAAATATTTCCGGTTATCATCCTTAAAATGTTTAAACTATTACCATAAAATAAACTGAGTGTTAACCATAATAAGAGATTTCAAATAATAGTTTCTGATATAAATACTACACATTATTTCCTGCGAAAATAATTTATTGAAGAGTGTATTTATTTAACTTATGAATAATTAGTTTTAATAGTTTGTTAATACTCACATTTATGATGTAAGTCATATCCTTTTGTCTGTGAATTCCTGTGACTATTAATTTACTTTTTCAATTTTTAAATATTAACACATAATTCTGTCAGTGCACGGTGGTAACCATTGAACTCCACGGGGGTTGTCTGTTATTGAATAGCAAAAATTTTAATTAATAGGCGGGTCACATGGTTGTTGCCATTTATTTTGGCCTGTGCGCGTGTCATGTTGTCAGCCAGCAACAGGGAAAGTAAAGTGGAGCACAGTCCTTCCTGATAGAGACAAAAGCCACCCATTCGGGCCAGGCCAGCGATTTTAATTAAAAATTCTATTAGCACTGCTTTCTAATTAAAAATCGAATAGCAGTAGGGCCACCATCTCCCCATCAACAACAACATCATCACCATCGACAACAAACACCATTGAATGTCAAAGGTTATTTGGGGAAAAAAGCAAAATGCTAGCAGAGCTGGTAAAATTATTGGAAGTAAATGCCATTGACTTTAATAGTTATCATCATTGGCCAAAATGAAGAGGATAAACCTAAGCACTTTCCACCTCTCTGGCTAACGCTCTTGGCCTGGTCTCTGTCGTTTTTGGCAACATTTCCGCATTAATGGCCCCAATGGCCAACAGCAATTGCGATTGCAGCTTTCGGCGCTCCGCCCCACCAATTGGCCAAGCAAATTGGCCATCAATGAGCTGCATTCCCGTCGGATCGTTGGGATTTCGGTTTTTGCATTTGATATTCCCCATGTCAGCCTTTCGACAGCAGATGTTGCCCTAATATTCCGATATGTGTAAATTTTTACGGTCAGCTAAAACACATCGGAATTGCCAGCTATTTGCCAGTCAATAAAGTTAAAAATCAAATGTTGAGACTTAAAGTAAAGTAATGTGAAAAGGAAAAAATTAAAATCAGAATGGAAGTATTCTGTTTCTTTTAAGATTTAAATTTAATTTTTCAAAGATAACTATAAAGATTTATCTGTAAAGATTTTGTTGAAAATGAAGTTTTATAGAACCACTTTTTTCTCTGCAACATTGAATCACTTTTTGGAATCTTGAAGACCAAGGCAACTCCTGTCAGAGATTTTTATACCCTTGCAGAGGGTATTATAATTTCAGTCAAAAGTTTGCAACGCAGTGAAGGAGACATTTCCGACCCTATAAAGTATATATATTCTTGATCAGCATCACCAGGAGAGTCGATCTAGCCATGTCCGTCTGTCCGTCCGTCTGTCCGTCTGTCCGTCCGTTTCTACGCAAACTAGTCCCTCAGTTTTAAAGCTATCTGCTTGAAACTTTCCCAAAAGTTGTCTTTCTATTGCAGGTAGTATATAAGTCGGAACGAGCCGGATCGGGCCACTATATCATATAGCTGCCTTATAACTGAACGATCGGAAATGCCATAACTTTGGTGTTTTTAAAGTTAGGAAGTTGGGATTTTTTATGGGTCTTATTTTTGGCTAATCAATCCGACCTACCAAATTTCATAAGGATCGGACGACTATATCCTATAGCCGCCATATAACTGATTGATCGGAAATGCAATAGCTTTGGTGTTTGTAATGTTAGGAAATTGGCACTTTTTATGAGTATTAAGAATGCATCATATGAATAATTTTGGAGAATATAATTTATAGAATATTCTGCAAGGGTATATCAACTTCGGCTCCGCCCGAAGTTAGCTTTCCTTTCTTGTTCATGGCTAGATTTTGCCATCAGCCAGTCGGCACCTACATTTCCGCTTGACTGTCTGCCCACAAACGTGTTAAGTTTTTCGGACTGGGCTTGTGGTCGCTTGTAAGCCAACATGGCTGCCATTATGCGATGACAGTGGAGGAGCTGCAACTGGATGCTGCAAATGGCACTGGACAGAAAGGGGTTTACGAGGGGGGTGCTGAGAAGAGGCACTCAACACAGTTGTTCAAGTTGCATGGCACCCAGTTGGTTTGGTTTTGGTTTAGGGTTTGGGCTCCTCCCTTTGCTTTTTTCTAGCTGACCCAGTTTAAAATGTTGCGGCTCCTTCTGCACTTTTCCGTCCTTTACACTCTCTTTTACGTATTTTTCTTTATTTTCGTCCCCTTTTTTTTTGGGCATGCAACTAATCAAACTGGCAGCGACAACCTCAGCTAACATTTCAGCGATCAAACGAACGAAATTCGAGGCAGTCAAACGGCATTCAAATGAGTTCCGCTCACAAACACTCGTCCATCGCACTGATTGGACACACACATACAAGTACAGCCAGTCGAATCACACACACACACACCCACTCACAGACATAAATCATTTAGCTCAATTGAATATGAACAAGAAAGAAAAGCTAACTTCGGGCAGAGCCGAAGTTGATATACCCTTGCAGAATATTCTGTAAATTATATTCTCCAAAATTATTTATATGATGCATTCTTAATACTCATAAAAAATCCCAACTTCCTAACTTTAAAAACACCAAAGTTATGTCATTTCCAATCGTTCAGTTATATGGCAGCTATAGGATATAGTCGGCCGATCCTTATGAAATTTGGCAGGTCGGATTGATTGGCCAAAAATAAAACCCATAGATAATCCCAACTTCCTAACTTTACAAACACCAAAGTTATGGCATTTCCGATCAGTCAGTTATATGGCAGCTATAGGATATAGTCGTCCGATCCTTATGAAATTTGGTAAGTCAGACTGATTAGCCAAAAATAAAACCCATAGAACTTCCTAACTTGCTAACTTGAAAAACACTAAAGTTATGGCATTTCCGATCGTTCAGTTATATGGCAGCTATATGATATAGTGGCCCGATCCGGCTCGTTCCGACTTATATACTACCTGCAATAGAAAGACAACTTTTGGGAAAGTTTCAAGCAGATAGCTTTAAAACTGAGGGACTAGTTTGCGTAGAAACGGACGGACGGACAGACGGACAGACGGACAGACGGACAGACGGACGGACAGACGGACGGACAGACGGACATGGCTTGATCGACTCTCCTGGTGATGCTGATCAAGAATATATATACTTTATAGGGTCGGAAATGTCTGCTTCACTGCGTTGCAAACTTTTGACTGAAATTATAATACCCTCTGCAAGGGTATAAAAATCCCTTCCGTTCTGTTGTCATATATGCTGTTTCCGGTTTCCGCCAACCGCAGCTCAAACGTCGTTGTCGTCATCATCGTCGTCGTCACATTTTGGTTGGGATATTTTCTTTTCGTTTTTCCCCTCATTTCTTTATTTTTTTTCCTGCCTGTGCGATTTGCTCAAAGGCAGCCAACAGCTCATTAATTTTGTTTTGTGCATGGGCATTTCTCGTTCTCCATTTCCCCCAAAATTTTTTCTCGATTCCACTGCTATTTTCTATGTGTGAGCAGAGCAATTTTTGCAGGCTTTCATGTCAAGCAATTTCCGCTGCTGACATATAAATTTCTCAAATATTTCACAAAAATAAATTTCGGTCTCTTGGCTTTTTGGAGCATAGCTATTTCTGTGCTCTGTGTGAACCCCACTGCAAGAAACTCATTAAAATGTCACTTAAATGTTTAAATTTTTAATTAAAAAGCATAAATAATAACAGAAGACTTGACTGGAAACGAAATGCACAGAATGCAATGCCTAGAAGTGGCATTTTGTACGCTTTAGAGCCCTTAAATACACAGATACACATATGGAAAAATATCCAGTATACGTTGGTGTATATATATTTTATGCATTTTGTTTTCCTGTCTACGAAGGAAATTTTGCTGCTGCAACAATATTTACTTTTTTGCTGGCGCAACATTAGGACAATATAAACACAATAAAATAATCATAATAAATAGAGGGGCATAAATTCAGGGGCCCCAGGGACTAGAAATTATCAAGAATTGTCGGTCCGGGCGATGACAGTGGCAAATAGAAAAACCAGGGCGAACTGGGCATCTTGCACATTGATTATTCCTTGAAGTGCCATGCAATTGTGTGCAAGTGAGTTTCTGGTTTTGTGCTTTTCCATTATTATATTGCCGTAGCCGTAGCCTTAGCTCCTGCTTTTAGCCACTTTCCTTTCGGCCCGGTTGTGTTGATGCGCAGTGTTGGCAGCTGCCAACTTGGCGCCTTTGTGTCGACACTTTTGCCACAGAACAACAAAAACTGCAAAAGCTATTACACACTGGGCATGCACATACATACCGGTTTTAATTTTCATAAATTTGTCATAAATTTGCATAAGCGCCGTTGCTTAAAATACAACTCAAAGGATGCTGAATATTTGCAATTTATTTTCGTCTTCAAACCTCCTCATGGCAAAACAATCATGATATTCACAAAGAAAGTTTCTCAACTTAGTTTTCGATTTAATTTCAGCTGAAGACTGATAATCAGAAGAAGGAGGAGCATTCATTTAACTTAATTGTTATTTTCAATTGCCTATCGATTAAATAGAGAGCAATAATGAAATTAAAACATTAAACAAATTCAAATATTGTTTCAATTATTCACTTATATATTATTTATATGCTGTCCCTCGACTTAATTTAAATTGCAATTGTAAGTAGTTTTGCAGCTTTAAAGCTTTTAACTATATTCGTTTGGTAATTATCAGAGTCAATTTAACTTTTGTATTCGAGAAAAGCTTGTTTTCAATCAGAGTTTTTAATTCACAAGCCTACAATTAAAAGTATAATTCGATTTAATTAGTCCTTAAACACTCGATGAAAGTATCATGTTGAAAATAAATCAAGGGTAAAATAACATAAAATTTGAAAACTATATTTATGCGTAATTAATTGTATTGTATTTTATTAGTTTACTGAATAGGTAATTTTAAGTATTTTTACGGTTAACTCATTATGCCATTGATATCTAAGAGATTAGTTTAGTTTAGTGTCTCAATGTCATAATGAGCCCAAGTAAATCCCTCTTAATTTTTTATAGAATGGATGCATTAGGCCGAAAAATCAATCAGTTCTGCCAACTCACCAACTCGTTTTCTAGATGATTGGAGTTCGCATCTAAGACAGCTTGAAAACCTTACTCATTTCCCGATCTCCATAAATCTCGCCTTTTTCCCGGACAGTTGGCAAACTTTATTTTTGGTGTGCTAGCTTTTTTCATGGTTTTTCTTTTCTTGCCCTAATTAAAATGACAACCACGCCCAGTTGCGACTCGGAAAGCTAGCAAAAGCGAAGAGAGAAGGCTGAAACGCGTGCCGACTGATAAATAAGCTGCAATTTGCGTTGACATTTCGCCGTGCACCCGAAAGTGATTTCAATTTTTAATGAGTCCGGGCCGCCTGAAGTTGATTAAGTGCGTTGATTCTGGTCCCGCAGTCAACGGGAAAGGCCAAAGGTAAACACGCCCCGCAAAGATACAACGATACAAAGATACAAAGATACGCAGATACAGGCCATGAAGGCAAATCGATTGGTATGGACGTGTGCGAATGGTTGGATAGTTTGGTGGGTGTGTGTGTGTTCTTGACCGGAGACGAAGGATTTCATTAGCACAACATTTGACAAAATGCAAACAAATAAACAAGAGCTACAAACAATGGCTAAGACCGCAGGCGGCCACTTAGCACTGGGATACAATGGGATAGACAGGCATTAGGGCCATGTTAACACGACTTCCGTCCTCTCCCACATTTCTCACGGACATACCAACATACACATGTGCCATGGCCCTAAGGGTGGAGAACCACAAAATGCTTCATTTGTTTTTACTGCCAGGCATTTTTCTGTCTTTCCTTGGCCTTCCTGCATTGACATGACATGAAATTATATTAATGAAAAACTTATTGACAGCGGCAATCAATCAAGAGCAACTCTGACAACACACTGCCCGTATCCATATTGATTTAATGAATTAAGTTCACATTGATGTCGTGTGCGGCTGCTTGAATTCCATTTAAATGCGTGTCCAAGAGATGAATTCGAGTAGTGGCACTGCCAGAATATTGAGATTATAACCCATTTTATATTTTATACTTGTTTAAGAATTACTTACAAAATTGGGTTATTTTTTTTAATTTTAAATGAAATGAAATAATTAATAAACAAATGCTAATAACAAAATAAAATTAAACCTAATTGTAATCAGATCATTAAGTAAGTAAATAAAGCACTCAAAAGATTTTTGATTTGCGGGGTAACAAAAACCACAATTGCTATTATATATATAACATAAAGAATATTCCAAAACGGAACTCATATTTTCGTACGTTTCTCCATGTGTGCAATCTATTTTTAACCCACGTTCACCCTTGAGTATTGATGAAACGCTGTCTCCTCCGCATTTTCCAGGAAATGGACTTTGGCACCATCATGTGCTGGGCCGACAACAATGTGGGTCAGCAGAAGGAGCCCTGTGTGTTCCATTTGATAGCCGCTGGCAAACCGGAAGCGCCCACCAATTGCACGGTGGTCAATCAAACGTCCGACTCGCTGGAGGTTTATTGCATTGAAGGTGAGTTATATGGCCCACACACTCATACTCATACTCATACGTCAAATTGCCAGCCAATTTGTTGCCCTTTTTCATTCGGCTTGCTCTCTTTTCCTTTTTGTTTCTATAATTGCTGATGAGCCAATCAATGGCCGAAAAAGGCATTGGTCAATGGCGTGAGGAGAAGGGGGATGGCGGGGGCCGGGGGCGGTGAGTTCCGCAGGGCAAAAGGGGGAGTGGTCATGTCCTGAGACTTTCTTTGCAGCATGAGCACGAGTGTGCGATAGCCGTAACTTGTGTATGTTGAGTTTCCTGCAACGCTTTTCAGACTCATTTAAAATACATGAGCAACTTAAGTGCACTTTGGCAGCCATCTACGAGTATGTCTATCCACCCATACAGATACGGATTCGTATTCCCTCACAGACAAGCACACACACTCACACAATCGTAAAGCAGAGCCAACTTCCTTTCGTGATGCAGACACAAATAATAAAAACGCAATGAAAGCATAAAACTAGAAAGGAAACCCAGCGTATAAGGGGCAAATAATGTTGCTAAAATTTCAGTTCTAGCTTAAAATTTGTAGTAATAAATAAAATAGAAGTAGCAATGTGATGAACTGCGAGCTGAAGGAGTGCACGGCCGAAAGTTAAGCGCAAATTTTGTACATACAAAATGTTTTGGCTTGTTAGGCAACTTGCTGCCTTCCAGTTGCCGAAGAAGGAGTGCGGAAACTTTAAATACAAATTCAATTCGCATATTTTATGCGCAGCGTAAAAGTGGAAAGCGGAAGGACAGAAAAATGCCAGCAAAGCGCAAAATAAGCAGCACAAATTGCAGTCCCAGAGTTCAAAGTTCGCAGCGATAGAGTTGCACATTAGCGCAGACAGAGAAATGTCCTTGCAAATTGCAGCAGCTCCTCCGAGCTTATGATGCATTTATGCAGCCCTTGAGTGCCGAACCGGTGGCAGCGGGGGATCAGAGGGAGGGGGGAAGGGCGGGCGGATCCTGCGAAAAGGCAACGCAAATCAAAGCGTTGCATAACGAGGCGGCTGCTGCAAGAAGTGCAACAAAAAGCGCATAATAACTGCATACTTAATGGCGCTCTTTTCCCGTTACTGTTTGTTGCACCCTCCGCGTGCCACATTCCACTGTTAGTCCCTTTTTCCACTGCTTAAAGCGCTCAATGTTTTTTTACCAATTGCTGGCAATTGCAATTGTTCGGCTTACTTAATGTTGTCTCAAGTGCTTGCCCACCCCGCGTATGCGTAATGTAATTATTACGCGGTACAAAATGCAGGGGAATTCCTTCGAAATGCCTTCATTGTTGCATTTTACAAGGCTCCACGGAAATGTTGAACTTTTTAATTTTTATGATTGAAATGGAGTCTGAAGTATAGGTTAACATCTGTGCTACTATTTATATTCTTTTCTTTTGGTGGGTCTTTTGCGGTGGGTCTTTTGGATTTCGTTTGCTGAATTTTAAGTACTTTAATATATTTCGATTTAAAATGGGGAACTTGAAGTGGAAAATTTTATGATATGATTGGACTTTATTACCATTGCTTCGCATACTAAATTAAGTTTTAATGTTTTTATTTTTAACTTGTTAGCCTATTTTATTTTTATTTGGATAAATCGAAAGTTATATATTTTAATTTCTCCTTTTTTTAAAATTACTAACTTCATTACAAATAGTTCTAGCAAAGTATTTACCAATTAATACAACTTTGAAAACGATACCCTTATCAGAATTTCCCACCCCACTTTCTATTTATATAACCGCCTCAAAGCGGCCACAGTGCGTATACTTAATGACCAAACTTTAGATATCATTACGTATGCACTGCAACGATGGCTTTAAGCTGCTTCAGCTCTATATCTCTCTCCTTCCCTCAAAGCCATTGTTCGCCTTATTACCGCACCACCCCCACTTCCGCCCCTCCCGTCCACCCCTCCGGCTGCTAATTTAGTGGCTGCACATTATTATCATAGTCATCAGCATCATTAAAACTTTAACGCAAGTTGTTTAAGCACAACACAAGAGCAGCAGCATCAGGATCAGGGTAGCGCGCACAATGCGATACTTTTTATATTGCACTCTACATTAAGGCGAACGACTACTGAAATGCCACGCCCCTTAACAACCCACCACCACCCACAGCCCAACGCCGGCAGCCCTTTGGTCGTTTGTTTTTATAATAACTCAACTTTAGCTGCGGTCGACTTTAATAAGCCAGCACGCAACTTGGCCAACTCAACTCGACGTGGCCATCGCCGCAGCTCAACTCGGCTCAAACTGAACCGAACCGAACTGAACTGAACTTAACTTAAACCAACTGTGCCCGACTCGAATTGAATCCAATGTGCGCTGCTGAAGACAACTCCACATCTTTGGGGCCAAGTTCGGTTGGCTACTGCTGTTTTTTCTCGCAAAACAAAAATAAAACAAACTGACAGGGCAGCGGCAACAGCAACTAACCAAACTCATCAAGCGTCGGTTTAATATAATAAAATTTCAGTTTATAACATTTTGCTTCGCTGCCGACGATGCTGCTGCACTGAGAAAGATTTTAATTTTGTAGGAGGGAAACTTTGGCATAGAAAGTGCATTGTTGGAATATAACATTTTGGGGAAAGATATACTAAAAAGAATTTAAAAATATATTATAATATAAAAAAATATTTAGCTTCGATAGAAAACGCAAATGAATTTGAATTAATCCTATAAAAAAATTATTTTTGTCCAGTCAAACAAAAATCTGGTGCATTTTTCAGAGCTCATTAAGTAATTAAGTAGCAACAAATTTAATTAATTCTTGGTCTTGATTTTAAGCTTTTCTAAACTCTGAAATTATTTACAAATACACAATAAAGAGTGAAATTAAAATGTTCTAAGCTTACATTAGCGTTAGCACTAAAAATGAATATACTTATGAGAAAAATAAAACTGTAACAGTTTTCCATCTATTTTTCTGAGTGAGTTTTCTGCTTCTATTGCTGGCCGCTCTTGTGTTATTATTTTACTCCACTTGTGCAGCTTCATTGTTGCTGTAGCCAAGTAAATAAAATTAACCCATTACAATGAAGTTTTTTCACTCTGACAACGGAGCTGCGGCAAATTTCATTAGCTAAACGTTTTAAAGTGCGCACAAAATGGCCGCCAACGAGCAGTGGGAGTGATCCCTTGAAAGGGCACGGAAAATAAGAATGGAATAAACCCACCGAAGCACCCAACCACCCAACCACCCACCCAACCGGCTAACAATGCCGCTTTGAGGCAAAGGCCAAGCACATTCTCTTTACTCTATTTCCGTGCCCTTTTCTTTGTGCGGGCGAATTCGGGTGGCTGAAAAAGCTGGCCAGCAACAACTAAAATTCATAGCAACATATAAAACATTTTCCACAACAATTTCGCTTTGGGGCCCACGGCGTGTGCCTGTCTGAAGAAGTTGGTCGGAACCCGCCCTAAACCTTTTTACTGGACGCTGCCTTTATTACAAAATATTTTAACATTTTTCGCAAGTGTTTTAAGTCGGCTTTTGTGTCTACAATGAAGTGCCATTTGAGCTGCCAAAGCTAAGCAAAAGCAGCCGCTGAAGAAGTGGCCCAACATTAGCCTCTTACTTTTGGCCAAAACCGCTTCTACTCCCTCCTCTCAAAAGGGCAAACTCAAGTGGGTTTGGCCACTTCTTTTGTGGTGTGATTAAATGGCATTTTAAATGTAACTTTAGATTACTTAAAATACATATTTCGGTGGCAGTCGGCAAAGAGTTAGAGGGTCCTTCAATTACCAGTGAGCTCTACTCAAAGCTGAACTTGAGGGATGACCTTAAGTTGGCCTGTTCAGAGTTATACTTTATTTATTTTATTGCTTATGGTTTCAAAAGCAATTGAGGCACATGCAAATAGTACAAACTTGACATTTAAGAGGACTGTCTCTTTCATATAATTTGATATTCTAAATTTATGTTTAAGTAGTCCATTCTTTTTTTGTGATAATGCTGATGATCTGAGCCAAAAACGTTTAACTTGTTTATGTTAAAGACTTTTAATAAAGTTAGGAGGTTTTCCTGACAAATTAGTGTTTATTTGGTTATGGAATTACCTGCAATTTTATTTGTGTAACTTAGAAGGCCTAAAAGTTTTGCCCAGCAACACAATAATTTTGCTTATGATAATTCCATTTATCTGCTGTTCGTGGCATCAAAGAAATCCCGAAACAAAAGTCCTGCCCAGGCAATCGCAGTCATAAATAAATCGTTACCTTGAAGAAATCCCCGCCAAAACCATTAGCAAAGTATGAACAGAGCCGCAGTCGATTGGCAACTACTTAATATAAATAAGCCCGAAGTTCCGTCCCCTTGGCCAATGCCAATCCCAGCCAATATGCTAAGTAAGCCCCAGTTCGTGCCAAGTTATGCAATCGGTGTCTCCCTCTTTTTCGCAGGATTCGATGGCGGAATGCGGCAGTGGTTCCTCATGGAAATCTTCGATCAGCACAGTGGGCAGCTCCAGGCCAACATCAGTGCCAAGTTCGCGGCCTTGAGTGTTACGGGATTGGATGCTGGCCGCCTATTCCGCATCTACGTGTATGCCGTCAATGGACGGGGACGCAGCGATGCCATAGCCCTCGATGGATACACCCTGAAGGCGGCCGAGAAACAGACGGGTAAGTGACGATATACACCGCCGTCGATGAAGCCCATGAATTTTAATGCATTCAGATGCGTAGTACACTGCGGGAAATTAACAGTCCTTTAATGATTATAGAACCAAAAGTAGTAAATGTCTTTTCAGTTGCAAAATATCAAGATTTTTACTAAAATGTTTACACTCAACTATGGTTTACAAAATATTTTATTAAAACTATGTATTTCCGAATGATAATGATTAAAGATATTCATAATTTAAAATATAGAAAATATGAAATACAAAACAGATCTTCGCCATCACTTTTATTGTATTATATTTTATTTCATTATATTGTATTAAAATACATTTTTATAAGACAGCTTACATTTTTACGAACTATAGCAGAAATCAAGAAATCTTAAAAGAAGAAAATTTAATTTTAAGTTAGCTTGCATAGTTATTTTATTTGTTTAACTTTCAGGAACCGACAGCTTTATAAACACCTTTTTCTCAAAGTGAATCTTATTTTTTATGAATTTTTTATGCTAATACTGTAGAATTACGCTCTCTTTCGCTTAAAACGAAACGAATTGCATAACTTTGCATTTCGCTTGGACCTGTCGAAAGCCTCTGTATCAGTTTCGCACCAAAGATGGCCCAGGGTTTTATGATTATTATGCCACCTCGCAATTTAATTACGCTAAACTGCTCAATGAATTGTAAATTCTGCGACTCAAAACTTTTGCCTGCAGTTTGGGGACAGTAAACGCCAAATTTTATGCAGCCTTCCCCCACAAAGTAGCGCAAAAAATCTGAAATGATTAGCATTAATGAATTGGGGTTGGAAGAATGCGGAAGGCGAGTTTCTTTATCGAGGGTAAGGGGTCTAAACGAAAAAGGAAATTGTAATGCTAATTAGCCAAAGGAAGAGCTGACAAGAATTTTATTTTCATTTTTGTACATTTCCCTTTTGAGGGCGGCTAGGAAGACGAAAAGCAGGAAGAGAATCTGAGAGGGACAGTCACATTTTGTGTAAACAACTTGAGCCGACATTTCAATTTTTCATAAAGTCAGTCGGAGCAATGGCGACGGGGAAAAGTGCAAAGCAAATAGCAAACAGCAGGAAAACCAGGCGGAGATGGAAATCAGAAAAGAAAATTGTCTTGGCAAAAAGTCAAAGAGTGGATGCTCTGAGCAAAGGTTAAGCTTGATTATGATCAGCATTTCTCGAGGATTCAAATGCTCAAAGGAAAGAATAACTCCACTTGTTGGACCACAGAGCAAAAATCTGATTTAGGAAATAAAATACGTAAGTAAGTTTAAGGAATATAAGGTACAAGTCTGAACGAAAAGCGTTGAAAGGTTATTCAGAAAACAAAAAATAATAAGTAAGTTTAAGGAATATAAGATACCAGTCTGAACAGAAAGAACATTTCAAAAGGCCTTTTAGCAAGGCAAAGATTTTTAATAAAGAATAGTTATGAACCTAAATCATGTCGGAAATATAACAATCAATATGATTTGTACTATAGAATAGTTTTTAATTTGTAAATACAATTTTTAAAATATTTCTATATGAGTTTTAAAATATATTGTTGACTTAAAAACACTTTTAAATGTAGTACAATTTTGATTTAAAAGTATTTATTTAAAAGTAGCCAGTAAAAAATATATGAAAATTAACAATGACAAAAGAATTCTTTTTTAATAATTTTTCGAATCTTTTTCTTAATTTATATTTGCAGTCGCCTTGACCTCGTACAAGGGCAGTGCCCAGAGTCCGGACAACTTCGAGCTGACTCCGATCCTGTCGATTGGCATCTTCGTGGGCATCCTGGTGGCCATCGTGTGCATCGGGATTGGAACTATTGCCGCACTGAAGCTGCGCTCGCACAAACATCAGCAGCAGCAGAAATTCGTACATCCGAATGCGAAATTCTCACGTCCGGGCAATTTGCAAATTAAGGACAAAATCTCATTGCCATTGAGTCACTCCGAGGAGATGTACGACGAGAAGAATCCCGATGTTGTGCCCTACAATGAGGGTAAGTTCCGGGGCTCCAATCCTCCAAGCCCTAAGCCCTTGTACTCTTCCTTTCGGTGTCCCCTTCAAGATAAATGGTGTCTGCCCGGGCTTCTGTTCACAATTTATGGACGCTGGCTTGAGGCTTCCCTTTATGCAAATGCATTTGACAGGCCGTCCGGCTCATGCAGGCAAAACAAACAGGACGGTCTTGGCGTCCTCAAGAGTTGGCTGCATTTTTGTGCCAGTGCTGAAATATTTAAATGACAGCTAATTGCTGTCAGGTCCTCGCCGGTTAGCTTGTTTGCTCGTGTGTCTGCAGTCGAGGGCCTTAAAGACCCTTTTAAACGTGAAATGGGGAGAGTTTGGCCAAAGCAGCAGCAATTTCACTCACTGCACGTGCTCGCTTGATTAATGGCAATCAAGAAATCAAGCGACGGCCCAAAGCAGAAGCAACTCCAGCACAGCACAACAATTTAATCAATTTTCCAAACGTAAAGCAATTTCATGGCCAAAGAAAATATAAAAAAAAAAAGTAAGCGAAAAGCCAAGGAAGCTGGCGAAGGGAAAATTGGGCAGGAAGAAAACTTGTTGCAAAAAATCACCAAAAGATTTGAGGGCGACGGCCGGGGCCAGAAACTTTTGCCTTGCTACTTAACAACAAAAAACAGAAACGACGAAGGCCAGCCCAAAACTTTTCGAACTAACTAAGCGTTCTCCATTCTGTTTCTTTCCCATCCCCCAAACATTTCCACCCAGTTGATGGTGAATATAAACAAAAATCAGCAACTCAAACGCCATCGGGACATCTTTCGACGACCAGCGAGGTGGAAATCAGCTGCAAGCCGGGCTCAACTTCCGGCACCGGAATCGTACCGGCCAACTCGGCGGACAGTGGCACCTATCAGAGCAGCAAGGTGAGTCAGTCGGCCGGCCAAACTTTTGGCCACCGAAAAGTTTTAATTACAGTCGAACTACTCTATGACGAACTCCCCCGAGTGCCGGCAACATTGCCATGACAAATGCTTTGATTTGATGTCGCAAATTTCTTGCGAAAATCCAAATGCTCTTGAAAACAATTTGGGCCAGATTAGAAAATAAACTTGTGATTATAGCCCCCGTTGGAAAACAGTTTCACCTTGGGGAAGGATGCTCCCTTCAAGGAGTTAACTTAGCTGTAGCCCCTGTTATTTCCAAGAAGACCAAATTGGTTGTTTTTAAAAGTAATTGAAATTTTTGTTGCCTCTAATTAGCTTGACAAATGCCTTGATTTGGGTTACGCATTTCCTAGAAATACCAGCAAAGGCCTTTGATAGCAATTTGATTAAATCAGGGAAAATATAAGACAAGAACAACATTTTTATTTGCAGATTACAAAGTTCAGTAAAACAAATGATTTAAGAAATAAAATTAAGCGTACATTTTTTCATCTAGCTTATGGATTGAATTATATAGTTGCATAGCTTCTTTTTTAAAGTTTCTTTTTATTTTATTTAAGTTATTTTCCTCTTATTAAATTTTTAAATTTTTTTCAGAAGTTTTAAATTAGTGAAGTTTAATAATTGTATAAGTTTCTGAGACGTTTCCTAACTTCCGTCCTTAGCTTAAGAAGCTTGTTAAGCTGTAAACATTAATTAGATAGTTTTTAAATCCTATTTTGTTTGCTGATTTCTCTAGCGTTGTTTCGACTGTACACTTTCATCCAATATTTTTTATGTCCCCAAGCTCCGGAAATTCCCCGATGACAGTTTATTAAATCCATGGCCATTTTCTCCCCCTTCAGGACGATGAGCTGCACTACGCGGAGTTGTCGCTGACCAACATGCCGTCCGGCAGCAGTGGCGCCTCGAAGAAGGGCCAGCCGGTAGGGGTGGTGCAGCAACAGCAGCAGCAGCAGGTGCAGCAGGGGCAGCACCCCCACCCCCTGATGGGTGGCACCTTGCCGCACGGGTCGAGTATGAGGAAGCTGCTGCCCACGATTCCGGCGACGGCGACGCTGCAGCGCCACAAGCCGAATGCGGGCGGAATGCAGCATCCGCACCAGCACGCTCCGCCGCCCACGTACGACTACGATTACTTTGAGGAGCCGACGATATACGCGCAAATCGATGCGTACAAGACGATGCAGGTGGACACCACAGGTGCAGGAGCAGCAGGAGGTGGATCGGGGGTGTCGGGGGCCGGGGCATGCATCTCCTCGCCCGGATCGCATGGCACCCCCTCGACCGTTTCGCCCGGCACCGTGCAGATGTACACCCTGCCCCAGCATCCCGGTGGCTACCACACTCTGCCACACAATCACCATGCAGCAGGAGGAGGAGCAGGTGGTCCCCAGAACTCCGCTTCGATGATGCAAATGATGCAGCAGCAGTTGCACCACCATCCCGCGCCCAACATGCCGCCCTCCTACCAGCAGCACCAGCAGAATCAGCAGCATCAGATGGCCCACGGCCAGATGCTGGTCTCGAGCAACAGCAGCGGATTGGCCTCCACCACGGCGGCTGTGGCCAGTCCCAGTAGTTCGCTCTCGGGACTTTCGGGCGTGGGCAAGTCCTATTCGCGCGAAATCGTCACCGTTCGCACCCCGCTCATGTATTCGCAGCAGGAGAGCTGCGTCTAAGGACTCCCAGGCAGGGATGACCCATGCCCCCATGCCCCCAAAACACACGCCCCAAAACATACCCGATTTTCTAGTCATGTAAGTCCTGAGCTCTTCGTGGTTGGTGTCTAGGCTAAGTGTTGCCAAAACGAATTGAATTAAATAACAGCATTCAAGAGAATTGAGGCGAATCGTTTGTGTGCTCGTGGAGGAACTGATTATTTTTAAATGCAAAGGCTTGACACACGGCTGTCACATAAAGAAATTGTTCTTCTAAAAAGGAAATAGAAAATGTTTTTTATCTTTCCACAAATTTAATTTGGATAATTGTTTAATAAATTCCTTGACAGACATTTCTACATTACAAAATTAATTTTCTGTGGCGATCCTATTCTAGTTTTGCCAAACTCCCTATTTGAAACCATCCGACTGAACAATCACTTATCAAAAACGATTGATTTTTATTACAATAGAAACTTAATTCGAAAAATAATCAATGTATGAAAAAATAATTTTTTAACCTGCAACTTTTTTATAATATGACAAGAACGGACTATTGTTGTTAAGCCTAATTTTAAAATTAGATCAAAAAATCAATTCATGCAACTGTAGTAATAATAAATCAAAATCGATTCCAAAAAATAGGACGAAAAGAAGATTTGGTATTTATTATTTGTAGCACTTCTAATATAAATGGCAAAATGTTCAAAAGCAGTCAGGAAAATTTTATTTTTGGTCTCTTTTGAACAATTAGAACAAGAAAATGGCGCAGCAAAAGAAGAATGTTCCTTCCTTACAGTAAGTACTCAGATGGACACACAGTCTATGCAATATTTTTTCAAGAGATTCCTTCACACATACGAGAACTATGAATTAACTTTCCAAGGAGACTTTGTAAATGTTTGTAAATGCAAGCTGGCGAGCAAAGAGCAGCGATTTCTAGCAATTAGGCTCAAAGATCACATACATTTAGTACATATTAAGTAAGTATATCCTTGATATAATAGACTTAAAGCTCACTCTCACTCAACCAAAGATAGGCGAGCAATGCGAATGGGCAACTTCTTGGCAATTATATTGAAAATAAATTAAATTATTCGAATCTATGGTAAACAATATAAATAAAAGAACACCTACACACAAACACAAGCAAATTAGCTGCAATTAGCTTAGCATAAATGAATACTAAGTATTAATGTGTAAATAGCAAAATCGTAAATCAAATTTATTTTACAAAACCCAAAAGCAAATCAAACAGAAACGCTGCAAACTAATGAATGTAAATTAGTTGCACATTCGATTCGAAAAACTCCAAAAGACTATAAATAACAAAAAGAAAACAAAACAAGGACCTATCGTTGGTATGTAAACTTTGAAAACGAAAAAATAACAAAGCCAGAAAAAGAAAAACAAAGGGAATAATTGTTGTTTGTAAATTGCATTTATATATCAATTTGTATTTTTTCTCTTCAATGTATAAATCAATGTTTAAACTGTGAAAATATATAAATATAACAAAATAAATGCACCTTGTAAATTATTGTTACATTTTAATATTTGTGTTTGATAAATGGAAAAGTGAACACACAAACAAAACGAAAAGCTATACTCCTTTAAAGTATGAATGAAACAAAATGTTGAGCTGTAATTGTAATAGACAAGAATTATGGGCAAGCATGGCAAATGCAATTTCCATTCCAAGCTAGTTAAGAGGAAAAGAGCAAAAAATAATTAAAAAACAAGTGATTTCTCTTACATCAATTAGAATAAAATACAAAGAAACGTAAATATATAGGTCGGTCATCATCTGCGTATATTTCTGCATGTAAGTGTTCCAACCAATATGAATCTAAACTAAGTGTAGCTAATTTAACATCTAAACGAAGTCATAAAAAATAATTGTAAAATATATTAATGATTTAGTTTAAAGCAAGACATATACTCTACAAATGAATTATGAATGTATGTTACGATTAAGCACTCAAAAAGATATGGAAAATACCCCTCCCCTATCCCAATAAATACAAGGAATACAATAATAACTTGAGACACAAGAAACAAACTGAACAGCAAACAACTGAATGAACTCAACCAAATAAATCCATACAAAATTTCAATGAAAAGCCAAGCATTTTCATTCTTTGAGAGCGGGTTTCCAGATTTTTTAGATCTCAGATGTCTATCCCGGTTGTATTATCCCTTTTCAGTCAGCGATGAGGACTCAAAAGGAGTCTCGGCCCATTAGCGACAAGGCTTTCACTGCTGCAATGTTGCAACAATTTTAATGCACACACAAATACAGAGAGAGAAAAACATTCCAAGTCCAATCCCAGCCTTACTCTGTTAGAAAAAAATAGTGAGACCATTTTAATATGCAGAAAAAACTCATTAATATTTAGTTGAATTTAAAAGTTAATGCTATTTTTGATATTCTTCATTAATGGCATAATAATTTTCTTTGTGTAGAAAGACACACACAGGCGGACATAAATTGACAATGCAATGTCGTTGGCGTCTTCTTGCAGCAGAGGCCCCAAGGCCAAAACCGAGGCAAGTAGCCTTTTCAAATTGTGCACTCAAATGGACACAGCCGAGGACAAGCGACGACATGGCGTATGAGCTATTTCGGCATGTGTATGCGAGCGGGGCATAAACTTCTCTTCCATTTGGCTTTCTTCATTTTCCTTCATCGTCGGATTTTTTTTTGCTTTTTTTTGGCAAACGTTTGCATGTGCAGCGAAGCGTAGATCTAAGAGAAATAAGACGACAGCAGGAGACATCACATGGATTTGTGGCCTGGCAATGGCAATGGTCATGTTTGACAAGTTACCCGTGATGCTCCTGACTTTGCTCTCTGGCCATTTTCCATGACTTTCCAAGTATTTGCGTTACTTTGTTTCGCTTGGTCCAAAATTAAAAAGCACACACATACAAGGGCTCGCAAAACAGGAAGAATAGAAGGCAGAAATTGAGATTGCTGGACGGACAGCAAATGAAGCTACAGTGCAAATATTACGGTCTTTTCTCAGTTACACTTCAAACCTTTTTTCTTTTAGGTTTTCAAGAGCTTTGATAAGTATTTTTTAAGTTCTTTAGTTCAGAAAATATTTTTTTAATTCTCAATTGAATTTTACACAACGTATGAATCTAAAACTTATAGTAAAACCAAACATTAGCTTATATTTTACTTTCCCAATTTATACTGAACATTAAAGAAACATGTCTTTGTAATAATATTCAAAATTGTATAAATATAATGGATATTTTTCAAGTGTTAAATAATACAAAGTGTCGCTACTAGACTGCCTCACATGTCACATTGTATTCGGACAGCCCTGGAAGACTCCTTGTGGAGTAATTTATTTGCCGCCTTTTATCGGGCAGAAAATGTCGTTGGCTCTTTGCTTTGGTGACAGATTTGGCCAAATTAAAAACTGAAAGGACCACGCTCAATTAAACATGTTTTCGACGTGTTCTGTCACATATGATTGTTTGCAAGACCGTAGAGCTTTAAGAAGGGCTAATTCATGAGGGAAAATACTTCAATTGAGAAGCCACATTTATTTTAAATTTCTACCATATCCCCATACATATTTATAAGCGCCATCGATCCATTCTCAGCGGGATATGGCAGGAACTTCAATCAGGCTCCCCCGACGGCTGGTTGGCTGGCTCTTGAACAACCCTTCAGCTGGTTCCTCTTCGCTTTTGTACCCATCATCCATTGTTATCTGCTGGCCATTTGTTATGCGCAGACCAACCAAGCACCAAACACCGCTCGATGGCAACCAGGTCAGATTATTCCAGCCAGGGAGAAGGTTTGCTGGGCACCCATTCATCAGAATCGGGGAGCATAATGCAGGCGTATTTATAACATTTGACAGAGCATCCAGAATGTAAAACGATGCAAAGAGCAGCCAGGCAATCCTTAATCGCACTCACAGCCCCGTACTTTCGAGCACTATTTATAATTATTGCACTTGGGGATTATAGTACCCGGCACATGTGAGCCCTCCACATCTGAGCAACGTCAGTGCAAGCAAAACAATCTCATTACCATTACTTTTAAGATGCTCAAACTTTCAATCAATTTCCATAGCAATATCCGCCGGGGCACTCGGCAGAGCTCGGGGACTTGCTCGAGGAAGTCTCAAGCACTCGCTCTTTGTCCCAAGAATCGTAGCCATTGTTACAGCCTCCTCATACCCAGTACTCAAGTCAGGGAAAGGGTTTGATGGCTTAGTAGGTTGCATTTGGCTATGCTACATTTTCATTTTTCAGATTTATATCAAATTATTAAATTTATTTAAAAATAAGTTGTAACTTTGCTAAAATACTCTAATAAAAATGACTTGTATAGCTACTAAAATATAATCAATATAAAAATAGGTTTCTTCCATATTATTAATTTTTAATTTTAAACAAATAAAATATGAATTTAGTTGATTGAATTAAATATTGCCTGGAATAACTCTGAATAACTCTGATAATACTTGATATAATCCATATGACACTACGTTTATTTTCTCTGTTTTCTGCTTACATTTCATTCTGATTTCAGGCTTTTGACATAGAAAATGTATCAAAAATCTAGTTGCACACTCTTAACAATATAATAAATACTTTATTTAAAAGGCCACATTTCGTGTTTTTTTTTTAAGGAAAAAGTTATAAAAGGAAATCGAAATCTCTAATGGTTACTTGGCGGTCGCAACGCTGTCTTAAGTTTTGCCACTTTTTTTGCCCCTTGTTGCAGTACTGATGGCGCTGTGCGATGGCAGCGACGCCCAAGTTGACAGCATTGTTTTGGGCCATGATGCAGCTGATGCTACAGGAATTGCTTGCTTTGAAGTAAACAAGCAATTTTGCAAAAGAAAGCAGCCCCTCCTCGGCTACCGAGCACCCCTTTTCCGCCCCAGACGTACTCGTATGCATGACTCGGGGCCTGCTCAGCCTCTTTGCTGTCAGCTGTCAATGCACTCGACGCGTCTGCTCCCCATTTCCCAGCCCCATTTCCCATCCCCATCCTGCCCCATTTCCCATCTCCACTTCCCATTTTCCGCCCCAAAAGCCCCTTGCTCACCCATTGCTGCATTTTTTATGCTGCATTGCACTTTGACTTGGCGGGGCTTTGTTTGCTCGTTCGATACTCGCAGACTGCCTTATCGCCGCCGAGTGTTATTTTTTGTCCTCCGCCGTCGACAATGTTGTCATCAACATTATCATCAGTGGTAAAGTTTTGGCATCCAACCCTCGATATTAAAATGTCCTTTGAAGCCAGCGCGTTTTCCCAAGCAGGCTATGGCATAATTAACAAATACTTCGCATGCAGAAGAGACACGAAACGAAGTACAGTACAGAGATCTTGCAACTCGCATGACAAATGTTGGCCAATAAATTACAGTTACGCCTGCAATAAATATTCAAATAGCTTGGACAAAACCAGAGGAATCCAAGGCAACCCCAAAAATGGTCACAGCAGCACAACTGCTAACTAATGATCTATTAGCCCAGGACTTGTGTCCTTCCTCGCTTGTGTATCTGTATCCGAGTTTCTCATATCCGGTGCTCGTCTTATTAGTTCACAAAAGCGACCACGTTTGACTTTTATTACACTCACTGTGTCAGTCGTTGCAAAAGTAGTTTTCTGACACAAAAAACATTTATCTTGCTTTGCCCGGTTTTCGGGTTTCCATCGGATGTTGGCCAACTTACAAATGAGCTGGGTATTCAATTTGTCTAAACTGATGCAAATATGATTGAACCCATTTGTTTGCGCTAAAATGGGGAAAAAAATCTATTCCAGACCGGATGAGCATCGAATTTTTTGGGGGTGGCCTTAGATCCAGAAATAGCTTAGCTTATTACTTATTAAAGGGGGAATCCCAAGCACACCAGAAATAGAACATTTTATCGATTTATGGTAACTTTTTATTTTTTCAGAAGTATTCAATTCGAAACACGTTTTATCATATTTAATTCAGTGTTCTGTTGCTTTGACTTACTCAATATATTTTTTTAAATATATGTAGCTCCATTAAAAAAAACTAATACATTTCATTGCTAATATTCCAATTTGCAGTAGAATCTTGCGAAGGCTTAATGGACTGAGACTCTACCAACTTTCAAGTGAATCAATTGTGTTTCCTTCATCATAAAAATCTTTTAAACAGCAATTGCTTTGGCTGCCGAACGAGTTTGCCACCTTGGTGAAACTTTGGAAACCCAAAAACTTTAACTGCCATCTGGATGCCATTTATCGCAATGGCATTGGCGAAGCCCCTAAAAGTGTCTAATGCGCGTTTTGGCGACACTTTTCATATGGACATACGAACAATAGGATGTGTAGAGAGCTGGGCGAAACAAAACTGCAAATCCAACTAAAAACTCAGCGGCAACGTAAAAGTATTTCCCAAAAAAAGAGTTTTGCCTGGCAGTCGAAGCTGAAACAAAAGTTTGCGAGCACAAAACATTTTATTGCACTCTTAAGAAGCTGCACTACACATTTCGTATACGCCATGCAGTGCAGCTAAGAGAGACCGTAACTCCCCGAGCCCAAGTAAAATATGAAATATATTTCAACTTTTGCACACACCGAAATATGTGCGGCATTATGGAGCTGGTGGTGGTACTGCTGGTGCAGCTGGAAATATGCGGCCAAGTCGCTGCCTGGAACAAGCCTTAAGCATCTGGGGCATGCTACAAACGAGAGAAAAGAATGCCGAGCGAAAGAAAAAAAAATTGGGGAAAACTCAACCTCGTCGCTGTAAAAATATGCCATGACACAAATACGCGCTGCATGACCCAACGAGGTGGAAAAGTTTGCCTTGGCAGGCGCCGGGGGCCAGGAATGGAATCCAAAATCCAAGTCCGAGCCCAGGTGCAAAAGTATGTGGGGTGACTGGGGCGGTGGGATTGCATTTCAAGGCCATTCCGGCCAAATGGAAAATTATTTGCTCCCTGTCATTATTTTCCCTCAGCTCGGCTTGGCTTAGTCTGAGTGCATTCTGTGCCGATGACAGCATACCTGTTCAAGGTCCAGCGGATTGCTATTATTTATTTAGCTCAAAACACTTTTTGTTTTTTTTTTTGTTCATTGGCACTTCGTTAAGG